AATGTAAATGGCGTAAACTCATCAACCAATGTCATGGATTAGCGAACTGCATCATAAAATAAAAGTTATCTATTTGTTGCTTATATCAGACACATCTTGTCTACAAAGGTATGCGGAAACTGAAAGAATGGGAAAGAATATTCCAGGCTAATGGAAAAGAAGAATGAGCTCCGTATCAGATAATGCAGATTTTGATGTAAAAAATACTAAAAGTGATAGAGAACACCCCATAATAAATAATCAAAGGATCCATTCAGCAAGAAATCACCTTGCTAGTTTCTTACGATGTTTTCTTTTTCATCACTAATTTTATTGGTTTTTCTCTCTTGCTTTTCTTTGCTAGTCTGGTTGAAAGTTTGTTTTGTTCAGCTTCTTAAAAAATGTCTCTTCTGGGCCCAGCGCGATTGTGTAGCAGCTAAAGTCCTTATCTTGCACTTGCCGGAATCCCATATGGTCGCCGGTTCTAATCCCAGCAGCCCTGCTTCCGATCTAGCTCCCTGCTTGTGGCCTGGGAAAGCAGTCGAGGACGGCCCAAGGCCTTGGGACCCTACACCCGTGTGGGAGACCCAGAACAATGTCCTGGCTCCTGGCTTTGGATTGGTGCAACACCAGCCGTTGTGCTCACTTAGGGACTGAGTCATCAGGTGGAAGATCTTCCTCTCTGTCTGTCCTCCTCTCTGTATATCTGCCTTTCCAATAAAAATAAATAAATCTTACAAAAAAATAAAAATTAAGGAATGAGATAAATAAAAATTTTTAGAAATGGTTCTTGTTGCAATTTGTAGTTTTTTAGTTTCAGTTTTATTTCTTTTTGCTGTGATTTTTATCATTTCTTCCTTTCTATTTTTTCTTTTATTAGCAATAAGTTCCTTTTTTTTAAGATTTATTTTTATTTTTTTATTGGAAAGGCAGATATACAGAGAGGAGAGACAGAGAGAAAGATCTTCCACCTGATGACTCAGTCCCTAAGTGAGCACAACGGCCGATGCTATGCAGATCCGAAGCCAGGAGACTCTTCCGGGTCTCCCACATGGGTGCAGGGTCCCAAAGCTTTGGGCCGTCCTCGACTGCTTTCCCGGGCCACAGTCAGGGAGCTGGATCGGAAGTGGGGCTGCCGGGATAGATCCGGCGCCCATATGGGATCCCGGGCGTGCAAGGCGAGGACCTTAACCACTTGCGCATCGAGCCGGGCCTAGCAATAAGTTCTTGAGATGCATTTAGATCATTTATTTGAGATATTTTGATTTTTTGGTAATCACCTGATATTATAAATGTCCCTTTCAGTACTGATTTTGCTTTATCTCATGGGTTTTGATACTTGTGTTTTTATTTTCATTTCTTCCAAACAAGGTTTTTTTTCCCATTAATTTCTTCAGTGATACATAGCAATAGCATTTTTTTCTCCAAGATGGGTTTTGGACCCGGTGTGATAGCCTTGTGGCTAAAGTCCTCGCCTTGCACACCCAGAATCCCGGATGGGTGCCAGTTCATATTCTGGCTGTTCAGCTTCCCTTTCAGCTCTCTGCTTGTGGCCTGGGAAAGCAGTCACGCACTGAGCAAAGCCTTAAGACCCTGCACTGCATGGGAGACCCGGAAGAAGCAGCTCCTGGCTTCAGATCAGCTCAGCTCCAGCTGTTGCACCTAATTGGAGAGTGAACCAGTGGATGGAAGATCTTTCTCTCTGTTTCTCCTTCACTCTGTAGATCTGCCTTCCTAATATAAATAAATCTTTAATAAAAAAAGTTTATATTTTCTTTCACTCATATTCAGCGATACATTGGTCATTCATTAGCATGCTGTTTAGTTTCCTGTTGTACATTTTCTATTTTCCTCCCTGTTGTTGATTTTGTTTTATGGCTTTTCACTTAAGGGGATGTGTAATAACTGTGTAATAGAGACTATCATCGGCCCAGTGTGATAGCCTAGTGGCTAAATCCATGCCTTGCATGTGCCAGGATCTCATATGGGTGTCAGTTCATGCCTGTACTGTTCCACTTCCCATGCAGCTCCCTGCTGCAGCCCGGGAAAGCAGTAGAGGATGGCCCATAGTCTTGGGACCCTGCAGCCATGTGGGAGACCCAGGGCGGAGGCTCCTCCTGGCTCCTGGCTTTGGATCGGCTCAGTCTGGCTGTTGCGTCCACTTGGGGAGCAAACCAGTGGATGGAAGATCTCTGTCTCTGCTTCTCTTTGTAAATCTGCCCTTCAATAAATCTTAAAAAGCAAAAACACCAAAAAAACTAATTTTTGTTAAAAAGAAAAAGACTATCATATCCAGATGCGAGGATACAATGCAGTGTGCAGCTCTGCTTTCATATCAGATGGACTCCCAATGACACTATTAAATATATGTTGACTATTAAATATCTCTTGACACTTAAATACCATCATGATGGACTTAATGACGGTTTATGAATATAAATCTAAAAATTATGGATCCAGAGCTAGTGTTCAGCTTAACAGTTAAAGGGCCCAGTCCCCACCTTGGAGTGCCGGGATTTGATTCTTGGTGTCCTGACTACAGCTTCCTGCCAGTGTAGACAGTAGGTGTCGGAGATTTGACAGTAGGTGTCAGGTATTTGGGTCCCTGCCACCTACATAAGAGGTGTGGATTGAGTTCCCGACTCCTGGCTCGCTCTGATTGTTGTCGTTTGGGGCAGTAAACTGGCACATAGGATATCACTGTCCCTCTCAGGTAAATAAGGGAAAAAATGACATTCAGTTTCTTTGACATCTGGCTGTTTAGGTGCTTTGTAACTTTTTTCCGCTTCAGGCTGTGTTTTGGAAGGAACTGATCACCCGTGACTGTGTTGTAAATGTGTTTGCCTTGTTCCCTTCCTTCTGATGTCCCCGAGCTCTGTGATGGTGTCCGCTCCTTTACTGCTCTTGGTAATTCAGAAGAGAAGAGTGGAGAGGACAGAGTCTTGGGGTTGGCCAGAACTGTTTGAAACTCCCTCGTGTGATTCTCACACTCACCTTGCAGGGTGGAGGGCCCTCTGAAGGGAAAGGCAGGAGGCTGCCTCTGACCAGGGCCTTGGTTGCCCACGCTGAGGGGCTGGCACTGCTGGGCACTGTGCTTCCCAGGCGCTCCTCGGTGGTCGTTTTCTCTGTGAATACAAGCTCGACATCTCACTTCTGTTCTTGGCCTCCCGTTACAGAATTGCGTGTATTTTCGAAAAGACTAGCATATTAGGTTTTGCCTATTTTGGAGATGGCTGTAAATTCTACCATTTTTTTTTTCTTGTAACCTTCTATAATGTTACTCTTTTTACTCAATATTGAGGTTTACTTTAAATTGTTATTTGTGGAGCAGGGAGAAATTAACATAGCAGAGCTGCCATTTGGATGGCAGCTCCAAATGGATCACTCTGCAAATTCATGAAACAGGCCAAATGCCAAGATCTGGGAGCTGAATCCAGGACTCCTGTGCAGGTGGCAGGGACCCGGAAGGTGAGCCATCGCCTGCCACTTGCATGGATCTGAATTAGCAAGCAGCCAGAGTCAGCAGCGAAATCGAGGATCAAGCCAAGTCACTCTGGGTTGGAACCATAGTTATCCCGGTTGGCAGCTAGGCCAAACACCCAAGCCGGTATTGGTCTTTGGCTATGCATCAAGCTGATGCATTCCTAAAGCTCTGCTTAATCCAGTCAGTCTATCAGTGTAGAAGGAATCTTCCAAACTTCACGCAAAGTGCATATCATGAAAAAACTGAGTTTCAAAAAATAATTTTGTACCAAAATCAATTTATCTTTTTTTTTTTTTTTAAGACTACTCGCATCACTTCTTGGCCTTTTGGCTAAGATCAAGTGTAAAGACTACTCACTTTGGGGACACCCTGGACTGAGGGTTCTCCTGCTTGTTTTGAACTCCTGTGTGTGGAGTTGTACATGATGGTGGGTCTAGCTGCTGTTGCTCAGCCCTGTTTGTGAACTGTATCCCTGGGATATGTGTGGCTTTAGTTTGTTCCGATTATATAAATATAACATAACTTAGTCATTGATGCGTGTTGATGGACCTCCAGTTGCTTTTAGCTTTACTATGAACACTGCTCTTCTAGCATTTTTTTTAATTTTGAAGATTTATTTATTTTAATTAGAAAGGTAAGTTTCTATAGAGAAGGGGATACAGAAAGATCTTCCACCCATTAATTCACTCCCCGTATGGCTGCAGTGACAGAGCTGAGCCAGTGTGAAGTAAGGAGCCAACAACTTTCTCCAGATCTTCCACATAAGTGCAGGGTCCTGAGGACTTGAACCATCCTTCTCTGCTTTCTCAGGCAAGAAGCAGGGAGCTGAATGGGAAGTGGAGCAGCCAGTACATGAACTGGTAGCCCTATGGGATACCGGCACTTGGAGTTGGAGGCTGAGCCAATTTAGCCATTTTATCAGGCCATCTTCTGGGCATTTTATACACTTTTCTTGGTACAGGCATACAAGGGACTCTCTAGAAAATACATCAAGGTTATAATTGCTAAATATATCATGTATATATCATATACGCATCTCCCATGATGCAAGATAAGCCCAAATGTAAATGCTTACACTTTGTCAGCTTGCTGACTACAATCATTTATATTACAATACCTGTTTCATGTCCTTACTCATACAGTGTTTCATCAGACTTTTTAAGACATTTAAAACTCAGGAAAGGAAGGAAGATCCTTACTGCATATTCCCCTCCACTAAGTGGCTGCAGTGGCTGAGGTCGAACTAGGATAAAACCTGGAGCTTCAGCTTGGTCTCCCACATGAGGTGACAGAAGTCTAAGTGCTTCAGCCGTGTGCTACTGCGTTGCCAGGTGTGTTAGGAGGGAGCTGGATGAGAACAGGAGCAGCTGGGACTGCAGCTGGCATTCAGAGTTCTGTTACATCACTACGCTGTCCCTTTGTCAGACTTTTGTCTTTTCCAGTTTGATAGGTGAAAAGGAATAGTTTCTTAAAGGTAAATTGACATTTATGACTATTTTGTAAGTAAACCTGATTAACCCTGGGTTATTTTTTGCAGCCTGAGGTCTCAGACCATTGTTCCCTCCCTGAGGACCTGGTGAGTACTCCACAAGTTGAGTTGAACTTGATTGTGACTTCCACAGGGAAACCCCATGATAAATGACAGATACCATTTGGTCCTGGGCAAAAGCTTTATAATCTAAAATGGTAACTGTATAAGCTTTTCATTACTTTAAGTAAAATACCTAAGGGCTTTCTAGGGATGGAGGTTTATTTCAGCTTTCAGTTTGTAGGCTCAGAATTGAGTGACCCCATTAGCTCACTGCCTGGAAAAGGCTGGCGCAGTGCAGCTTGTGTCGGGGAACAGATGGTATAGGGCACCAGAGAACAGAGAGAGAAGCCAGAGTGAACTCAGATCACGAGCCCCAGCTCACTCATGAGAGAGACCTCTCTTCTGAAGATAAGCCCCTGACCACCTTCAGCCCTCCCTGTGCTCCCAGGAGCCCCAGCCCTCTTCTCAGGTTATAGTTTGATGGATTCTGTATCCTAAATCTATCAGTCATTAACCTCACCCTGGTCAGAGGCTTTATAATCTGAAATGGTAATTCTGTTAGCTTTCATTACTTTAAGTAAAATACCTAAGGTCTTTCTAGGCAAGGAGGTTTATTTCAGGTTGCAGTTAAGACATCTGCATGAGTTTGGGGAGTGAAGGCTTGTTCAATCCACAGCAGTAATTTCATTAGGGAAGTGACTAGGAGAATGATGTACCAGGAGATTGCGTCCCAGACCTTGGCTGTGTGTTTACAAGGCAATAAGGCGGGTACTGCCTGCCGTCCTGCTTTGGGGATCGGCTTGCCAGATTTGTTTCTTGCGTCTCTGCACTTGACTCCTCAGGGAAAAGAGCAAAAGGACAATTTTGATTGTCTTGGCCCAAGCTCAGCTACAGGAGTGTTCCTGTGCCTTCTGACCTTTGTGTAACTGCTGTGTCCTGTCCACGCCCAGATGTGGTTGGACAAGCAGTGTCTCCAGCTGGCAGAGCCACGCGCGTCATTTCACATCATTGTGAAACTTTGTGTACAGTGGAGCCAAATACATTGGCTGTTTCAGAAATGATTTTAGAAGGTACAGGTTTCTGAAATTCAAACAATTATGGGTCAGTCTGGTTTCAGTGATTTGGGGGTTCTTAACTAAAGGTTCTAGACGTCTGAAATGTATGAGTATGGATACAACGGATTTTTAGGCAAAGGGAGAATGAGTTGCAAATCTGTTTAAAATCCACTCAATTACATGAAGAGTTTATACCCTCAAACATTCCCATTGTAAAGGAGTGGTCTACATAATTTTTGAATTTGGGGTGGATATGATACAATTTTGGAAGAAAGATAAAGTAAATGCCATTATGATTCCCTCTCCATTTGTCCTTTGCTATTGAGACCTTTTTGTAATCTGAAGAATCTGAGCTGTAGGACAGGGGCCATCCTCCCTGGATACCAGAGCTTAAAAACATGGACCAGCATCCTTGGATTCCATCTGCCATTTATTTATTTATTTGCATTCAGTTAAGAAATGATTGTCAAATACTGATTTATAACCATAATTGTCTGCCTTTTTCTCCAATTTTTAAAGATTCTAGTGTCACTTTTTTTTAAGGATTTATTTTTTTTCTGGAAAGGCAAATTTACAGAGAAGGAACGACAAGAGAAAGGTCTTGCATCTGCTGGTTCACTCCCCAAATGGCCGCCATGGCCAGACTGAGCCAATCTGAAGCCAGGAACCAAGAACTTCCTCCGGGTCTCCCATGCCGGTACAGGATCCCAAGGCTTTCGGCCATATGTCCTCTGCTGCTCTCCCAGGCAGTGACAGGGAGCTGTGTTAGAAATGGCGCAACTGAACTGGTGTCCATATCCTGGTGCTCACAAGCAGAGGATCAGCCAGTTGAGTCATTGCACAGGCCCCATCTTCTAGTGTTGTTCTTAAAACACACACATACACACACACTTTAACAATTGATTTGCAAGGCAGAGAAACCAAGAGAGAAGGAGAAGCAGAGAGGGATCTTTGATTTGCCACAACCACCAGGGTTGAGCCAATCTAAAGCCTAGAGTTAAGGAACTTCGTCCTGGTCTCCCAGACAGGTGGTAAGGTCTCAAGTACTTGGATTGCCATCCACTGCCTTCCCAGCATATTGGCAGGGAGCTGGATTGGAAGTGAAATAACCAGGATTCAAATAGACACCCTAATGTCGCTCATGTTACTGCAAGCCAGCAGCTAAACCTGTTGGTGTCACAATGCTGGCCCCTAAAGCAGTTTCTAAATTTTGGATGTATGTGTGGGTTTTCTAGAACTACTGTAACAAGTTTCCAGAAATTAAGTAGCTTAGACGGAAATATAGTTTGTCACAACTTTAGATGGTGGAACTCTGAAATCAAGGTGTCCACAGAGCCACATCTGAAGACTGGAGGAGGGGCTTCGTCCTACTTCTAGAGGCTGCCAGCAGTCGTTGGTGTTGGCCTTCCTTGGGTTTTAGAAACTCCTCCAGTCTCAGCCCATGCCATCACGTGTCCTTCCCTGTGTGTCTTATCTCTTCATCTCTCTCACAAGGTGACAGTCATAGTGGATCTGGAGTCCCCTCGACTCCAGGATGACTTAATTTATCTAATTACGTCTGCTATGACCTTGTTTCTAAATAAGATCACATTTCACCTTCTGAAGTTACATGGACATAGATTTTGGGCAAATGCTGTTTACGCTCAGTCCACTGAGTGTTGAATAAATGCACAGGTAGATTGTGTAAATTACCATTTCTTCTGTTGTGTATGTATTAGAGATGAGACTGGCATTTCCGATGGTATGTTAACAGAATTACAATCAGGTGTCGAGGAATGGAGACCAGGAAATGGTCGCCCTCCCTCCCCTCAAAGGCTTCAACAGCCAGGGCTGGACCAGGTGGAAACCAGGAGCCGACATGTCCATTCGAGTCTGACTTGGGTGTCTGGAGCCCCTGTGCTTGGACATGCTTCACTGATGTCCCAGGGGTATTAGTGTGAAGCTAGATTGGAAATGGAGCAGTTTGGGCTTAAACCACTTCTCTGATAAGGAATGCAGGTGTCTCAAGCAGCAGCTTAACTTGCTGCGCCACAGTGTTGCCCACTTGGCTGCTTATTTTGATGATTGTAGTTTACTTTTCTCATTCAGTAGGCTTTGGCAAAAAGAGTAAAGCTTGACTACAACTTTAAACTTTATTTTGTTCATTGCAACTATCTTTCCTTCCTATGTAAAAAGAGGGGGCTGGATGATATGTGATTACCATGTGGAAAGAAATTATCCATGTCAAATTTAGGTCTAGGTCTGCAGTGTAGTGAGTCAGTACAGCCTTAAGACTGACCTGGTGGGCCTGGCGTGGTGGCCTAGTGGCCAAAGTCCTCGCCTTGAACACGCCCTGGGATCCCATATGGGCGCCAGTTCTAATCCCGGCAGCTCCACTTCCCATCCAGCTCCCTGCTTGTGGCCTGGGAAAGCAGTCGAGGACAGCCCAAAGCCTTGGGACCCTGCACCCACGTGGGAGACTTGGAGGAAAGTTCCTGGATCCTGGCTTCAGATTGGATAAGCTCCGGCCATTGCACTCACTTGGGGAGTGAATCATCGGACGGAAGATCTTCCTCTCTGTTTCTCCTCCTCTCTGTATATGTGACTTTGCAATGAAAACAAATCTTAAAAAAAAGACTGACCTGATGTTGGTAGGTGCTTGGGGAAGAGGGAGGTTGCTGGGAGTATATTGGAAATAATTCTGCCTGGCAAACATTTACTCCAGGTATCATCACCCATTGTTTCCCCTAAGTCTGTGTGTGCAGAACTTAGTTAAGAAGTGTTAAGTATGATGGTTAGAGAAGCTGAGAACGGGGATCAAGGGTGGATGAGATGAAGCAGATCATCTATTCCTGGTGGGACTGGCACACACGTTTCTCATCTGCCACTGCCCTCTTCTGCTTGGCCCATTTCAGAGAGTGTCAGAAGTCTCCAGCCACTGGTGGTACTCCATGCTCATCCTACCTCCTTTACTGAAAGACAGCGTGGCAGCGCCCCTGCTTTCTGCCTACTACCCCGACTGCGTCGGCATGAGCCCCTCTTGCACCAGCACCAACCGTGCCGCTGCCAGCAGCCCTGGGAAGCTGGAGCACTCCAAGGTGGCCCCCTCTGCACTTGGTGAGCACCCAGCCTGGCCCCTGCTTGCCGCGTGTCCTCCCTGAAATGTGCGGGTAGCAATATGCCGAAGCTCATTTCCAGCCTACATGACACATGAGGGAAAGCAGGTCCCTGCTCCCTGGGTTTGTTGTATGGTGAGCCTTCTGGGTGGTCCCCAGCAGGAGGTTCCACCAAGGATCAGAAATACTCAGGGAGAAAGTTGCATTTGTACTGAATACTTGCACACTTTTTCTTTTTAAAAAAGATTTATATGTTGAAAGGCAGAATTAGAGGCAGAGAGAAAGCTAGATCTTCCATCCTCTGGTTGATTTTCCAAATGGCCTCAGCAGCCAGCCTTTAACAAGGGCTAAGGGCAGAAGCAAGACCTCCGTCACTGCCCTGCAGGTGAGTGGCAGGGGCCCAGGGCCTTGGGCCATCAGCTGTTGCTTCCCCAGGCACATTAGCAGGGAGCTGCATCAGAATCAGAGTAATTGAGGCTCCAACTGGCATTGATAAGGGGTGCTCCCAAGCAGTGGCTCAACTTGCTGAGCCACAACACAGATCCCAGAGTTTCCTTGTTGTCATTGTGCCCTAAATAATGTAGTATAACAACTGTTTAGATAGCGTTTACAAGTGGTAGCTGTTTAGGGAATTTAAACGTGTATATCGAATTTTTGGTACAGAAGCAAGAATTCTGGAAATTCTCGCTCTGTATGAGCAAACTGCATTTTTCATAATCTGAATATATTTTTACCTTGTTGCCCATCTTAAGGTTTTTCACTGATAATGCTAGGCCCTCTTAAAATGTTCTTGGTCTGAAAATGAAAGCCAAAATGGTGATTATCGGTGTTCATGAAGGTATCCTGAAACAGGTACTCACATGCTCTTATGGGGAGGGTACGTTTAGGAAGGACAGTCTGGCAGTCAGTGGGCATCACAGCCTTCCAGGTAAGTGCCCTTTGATCCAGAAATGGTGTTTCCAGAAAATTAGCCTACATGAATGCATAGAATTTGTTTTGATATTATTTGTAGTAGTGAAATAACTAATTATAATTTAAATCCCCAGTATAGTGGAATGATTAAATAATAAACAAACAAAAAGCCATTAGGGTCATGTTTAAAGACATGCAAAAATGTTCACAAGATTGTAAATTTTGAATAGGATAGCATAAGCTGTACTTCAATATCATTCTGTATTCATTGAAGCTGATGTAAGAATGGAGTATCCCCTGAATGCTAGCCCACCCTGTGTCCATCATCCGGGGGTAGTGATGTGAACCTGCCCATTTTGTAATCAGAAAATGCCAACTAAAGATACTTATGAAAGATAATTGCCACAAGGGGTGTGTGTTCGGGAAGTGTGGAATGTCAGTGATTCTGGTCTGAGTTCTGGGAATCAGCGGCACACACTGTGAGTATACTTTACACTCCTGAGCGTTCAGACAGTATAGGTAGTATATTTTATTGCATTTTTGAGCGAGGTAAGATTTTGAGAAAATTTACATTTCATTCCAATCAGAAAGAGTGGGGACGGTGATGGTTTGGTTCATGTGTAGTTTGCCTCCCTGACGGGGAGAAATACCAAGGCTGGGTGCTGCTATTGTTTTGGGTTGGTTTTTGCTCTTTGATTCTCCTGGGTTTGGAAGTTGCCCTTGCAGGAGCTGCCTGTTTGTGTCACTTGTCAGTTCCAGGCATGAACCAGTACTTCCAGCCTTTCTACCAGCCCAACGAATGCGGCAAGGCCCTGTGCGTGCGGCCGGACGTGATGGAGCTGGATGAGCTCTATGAGTTCCCTGAGTATTCCCGTGATCCCACCATGTACCTGGCTTTGAGAAACCTCATCCTGGCTCTGTGGTACACGAACTGCAAAGTAAGTTGGGCATGTCAGCCGCACACTCGCAGAGAGCTGCTTTACCTGGGCCCTGCTGTTGTCTAGGGCGGCTCAGTGTTGAGGTGGGGAGGGCTGTCCCTGGCTGTGTGGGAAGATGCCTGGCACCATTCTTTCCTTTCTTTTTTTTTTTTTTTTTGCCTGCTTCTGAATAGCAGTGTTTTTATTTTTATTTTTATTTCTTTTTATTATTATAATTTCATGATACAATTCCATAGGCCCTGGGATTTCCCTTATCCCTTCCCCAAGCACTCTCCCCTCCCCAGCGAGTTCCCCATGAGATAACGGTTTCCGCTGATCTTTGGTGAAATGTGTAGGCACAAATAGATGAGTTTTGTTTTTTAATCCATTCCACTAATTATGACATTTGATTGATGCGTTTAAGCCGTTTACATTCAGGGTTAATACAAATAGGTGGTAATTTGGTTCTATCTACTGTACCTTTAATTTGCTCTACTATATTCTTCATTTCTGATATATCAGCTTTCATTTGATTCATTTCCAGTGTGACATATTCCTTGAATTCCTTGAATGCCTGTTTAATGTGCTTCTCGTTAAGAAGTTTTATAACAAGTATTTTGAAATCTGTATCCCCATTTTGTTGATGTCTTTCTCAGTTAACTTTGAGGTTACCAAACGGTTTTGCTCCTTTGCAGGGGATTCTTCAGTAATATTCATTGTGCCTTTCTCTCTTTTGCTCTTGGTCACTGAACTTCTGGTTATCAGATTCTTCTCCTTGGGGCAGGTTTCTGAGCTCTGTCACCCACAGGTCTATAGTTCGATTTTACTTATTGCAGTTGGTACATGGCTCTTTGTTTGCAGTCACTTGTGCCACTCCGTCCAGTGAGTTCCAGGTCTGGGTTCTTATGTTAGATTTCCACCATGGTCTCTGTAGCCCCAACTCTTGGCTCACCAGTCTCCACCTCCTGTGATCCCATGCTGAGGTTGCACTGTTGTCTGTACAACCTGTCTCCCACTTGTGGTTGGAACAGTCCTAGGATTAGGGAGACACCAGGTGTCATGTATAGTTAGGTTGTTATTGGTGATCTTGCATGAACCTGTTGGCCGTTAAATCTGAGGGCCACATGGACCTATTTTGACCCATAAATGTCATAATTGGTATTATTTTCCTGTGGGACCAGTGCAATCCACTGAGCTCAGTGAGTTCTCCTGAGCTCAGCACTGTCGACCCTGCAGTTAAAGCTTTTCTGTACAAAATGGCCCCTGATGTACCACTAGTAGATCTGCTTGGCCGTCTTGATCTGCTGGTGTCAGATCAGAGGGCTACCAGGACCTGTCTTGGGTGGAATCTGTAAGATGCCACATTGTTGCAGTTCGCTGAGCCAGAAATGAGTTCATTCCCAGCTTCGTGCATGCGCAGTCCTGCCCCATAGCCCTTGCCTCCTTAAACAAAATGGTACTTAATTCGGCTCTAGGAGGCGGACTTGATTATGAAATCCACCCTGTTCTCACACTCACTGCCTATCTGGGAGCTGGTGCTCTGTCTCTGCTCCTGGTCAAATCAAACAGACAAGCAGGGACAAGCAGTTCTTTGTCTGGGTTCACCTCCCAAGGTGGAGTTCCGGCTGCAGGTGGAGTTCAGATCGCCGTTTGCTGAATGCTGCTGGAGTATCAGTCACTGCAACACTACATAGTTGTGTCTGCTGCTTTCCTGTATCTGTCAGTGTTCAGGTACCCCTCTGCTGTTGTTCTGTCCTCTCTTATTTCCTGGAATGTGCCCTCTTGCTTCACCCTGGTTAATATTCCTCCATCCATTTAAATGTGTCCTTACCCTATTCCAACATCTTTATTCTCTCATCATCCCTCTTTCTGTCCTCTACCTGCTAGTCACACTTGCCAAGTATGGCAACCAATATAGATGTATATCCCTTACTGAAAGCATAAGGGACCAGGCATGTTTTGGATTTGGGATTCCTTGCAGACTGGGGAAGACTGCATAGACTTTAAAGGTTTATTGGGGTTTTCATATTAGAAATATTCAATATATGTGTCTCTACATATTTCCAGGTAGGGCATAATTACTACTGAGGAAAGTCACCACTTTGTTCATTTATTTATATTATGAAATTTTTAAATAATGATTACTTGATGGGTCATGGTGGGAACAATCAGTTTAGGGAAAATTGGGTGTAGTCATTGCTTACAAATTTGCTGTTTCTTCTTATTGTTCTTGAGGGAAAGGGAGAGACAAAGGTGGAAACCACTCATGACTTTCCTTACGTCCCAGTACCCAGGGATGAGGAACTGTCACCTTGGAGTCTCAGTGTGTACATATGCCAACTGTTCTGTTTGGATGGTTTGGATAGTTCTGAAATACTGCCAATTTCACCGATCTGAGGATGATGTCACCCTCCCAGTGTCCGTTGGCTCCATTCACCCAGATTTTTTGCTGCTGTTGTTTGTTTGGGTAGTTGTCCTGTTAGTTCTGTTCCTCTGCTACAGCACCAAATGTGTTGTCATATTCTCCTTTTACAACAGGGCCTGTGTCCACTGCTCCATCTTTTTCATTAAGTAGGACATGTTCTTGCACACATGTCCAAGGACCCAGACCTGGTATCCCAACATTGCCAGATCCCCCACCCCTGGGGCTCACAAACCCAACATAGTTGTCACTTTAGGCCACATTCAGTCAAAGTATATCTCCAGTGAGAATAAGGGTTAGGTGTAAGGTTGGGTGCAAAGGGGTTCAGCGAAAGGCAGTGCCACAAGGGAGACTAAAACACCAAAGATTGGCTTATAAACCCTCAAGGAGAGAGCTTCAGTTTATGCACCTCTGTGTCCTATGATGTTTTCTCTGCTTGGCTGACTAAATGTTACCAGCATCACAGACCACCCCCCTGGGAAAGGATTGAAGGTAAATTTAAAGGCCAGGAAAGAGTGGGAATACTATTTAAAAATTCTAATTTATTTATTTGGAAGAGATTTTCCATCTCTGACTCACTCCCCAAGTATGCATAGCACCCAGGGCTGAGCCAGGCTGAAACCAGGAGCTAGGAACTTCATCTGATCCTTCCATGGGTGAAGAACCAACTGCTTGAACCAGCATCTGCTTCCTCCCAGGGTGTGTGTTGGCAGCAGGCTAGAAGCAGAAGTGAAGCAAGGCATTGAACCCACGAATTCTGATACAGGATATTGGTGTTTCAAGTGCTTGAGCCACCGAAGAGTTTTTTTAAAAAATTAACATTTTAGTGGCCCCACAAAGGCATAGTAGATTAAACCTCAGTTTGTGGTGTCAGCATCCCATATGTGTGCCAGTTTGAGTGCCAATTGCTCCACTTCTGATTCAGCTCCCTACTAATGTATGTGGAAAACAGCAAAAGACAGCCCACATTCTCAGGCCCTCGAATCCATATGGGAGACTCAGAAGAAGTTCCCACGTGGAAAACTGGGAGGGGGCTCCAGGATCCTGGCTCCTGGTTTTGGACTGGCCTGGCTCCAGCCACTGCAGCCATTTTAGGGGTGATCCAGTGGACGGAGAAGATTCTCTCTTTCTCTCTCTTTCATCTCTCCAGTTTTTCTTCTCTTTCATAAAATCTGCCTTTCAGATAAAAAATAACCACAAATTAATTTTTTTAATTCACACATAAAATATATTTTATTATGTATAATATGTTCTGAAATATGTACACATTATGGAATATCTAGGTCACACTAGTATGTGCGTTATTTCACTTTTTTTTAATTGTTGGAAATTAAACTCTACTCAGCCGTTTTTGAGTGTATAATATGCTGTTCATCTCTGTGGCCACCATGTTATTTAAGCATACTCCTGCCGTCTAACTGGTATTTTGAATCCTTTGACCAGCATCTCCCTACACTGGTCTGCCCCGCCCCACCCAAAGAAACCCCCATTCTACTCTGGTCTTCTGTAAGTTAAACATTTTAGATTCCGTGCGAAGTTAGATCATGTAATGTCTGTTTCTGTGCCTGGCTTATTTCACCTGACATACAGTTGTCCAGCTTCATCCACTTTGTTGTAAATGACCTGACTGTAAGGGTGAATACAGTTCTGTTGTGCGTATTCAGTACACTCTCTATCCATTCATCTGTTAAGACACTTAGGTTGATTTTTTTTTTTTTTAATTGGGAATGCAGATTTACAGAGAGAGGGAGAGATAGAGAGAAGGTGTTCCATCTGCTAGTTCATTCCCCCAAATAGCCGCAATGGCTGGAGTTGAGCCAGTCTGAAGCCAGGAGCCCCCTTTGGGGTCTCCACTGTGAGTTCAGGGCCCCAAGAAATTGAACCATACTCTACTGTTTTCCCAGGCCATAAGCTGAGAGCTAATCAGAAGTAGAGCAGGGCGGGGACACAAACCCATGTCCATATGGGGTGCTGCGCCACAGGGTGGAGGATTAGTTTGCTGAGCCACAGGGCCGATCCCACTTGGGTTGATTCTGTGTCTAGGTTGTTATGACTCATGCAACAGGTAGCATGGAAGTGCAAGTATCTCTGACAGTGATTTCATTTTCTTTAGTTACAGGCACATATACTATATTCCTGGGTCATTTGTCAGTGATTTAAAACTTTTTCAGGTGTTTCCACTGTTCTCCATAGTGGCTTATTTATCTTCCTACCAACTGTTGTGCGTTGGTTCCTTTGCTCCACATTCTTGCTGGTGGCTGTTATGGTAAGGCAGTAGTCAGTCTCGCTGGGTGTGATGATACCTCATTGTGGTTTTATTTGCATTTTCCTGCTGAACAATTATGTTGAGCATTTCTTCATAGGCTTGTGGGCCATTCGCATGTCTTTTGAGAACTGTCTACTGAGGTCCTTTCATGGTCCATTTTTAAATGTATTTGCTTTCTTCCTATTGAATTGAGTTCATTGAGTTTTGTTTTGTTTTTAACACTTGGGTTTCATTTCCAAACACAGGAAGCACTTACTCCTCAGAAATGCATCCCTCACATCATTGTCCGGGGTCTGGTGCGCATCCGTTGCGTGCAGGAAGTGGAAAGGATACTGTATTTTATGACAAGGAAAGGTCTCATCAACACCGGAGTCCTCAGCGTGGGAGCCGACCAGTGTCTCCTTCCCAAGGACTATCACAGCGTAGGTGACTGCGGGTCCTGTTGGCGACACAAGTCAAAGTAACACCACAGCAGCAGACTGCTGCAGAATGTGTGTCCCCCACGAGGAAATGTTCAGCCCTGCTTCTGCAAGTGGTAGAAAAGAGTCTTTAGGAAAAGACCTTTCTAGGGGCATCAGAAAAATGTACATGAGTTCTTGCTGGGTTGACAGTTTGTACTTGATGGACCAACTGAAATGGTGGTTACTGTTGTTTGCCTTAGAATCTTATTCTTTTTCTTTCTTTCTTTGTTTTAAAGAAATCCGTCATTGTGATTGGGGCTGGTCCAGCAGGATTAGCAGCTGCAAGGCAACTGCATAACTTTGGAATTAAGGTAAGATTTTTGGAACATGTAGGTGGAAGCAGATGGTTAACTGCTTTGTGAATCTGAATTTTCTAAGAATTTGAAGTTAGTCTCTGATTTTAGTGAAAGATGCTAAATATTCTAGAACTTTTAAAACGGATTTAATAAAAGTGAACAAAAAATACAAGATTATTCAAAAAGTTCATGGAAAATGTAATTAAAATATAAGTTTATTTGGGTGCAAAAAGTTTGAAAGCCATGCCATTTTTTTCATAGTATGCATTTTCCACAAACTTCTGAAAGGCCCAGAGAATTGTATGCTCTAATGAGCAAGTCAGAAGACATTCCATGTTGCTGTAGGCAGGGGCTCTTTGCAGGTCGGTAACAACAAACCAGAGTGACTGGGACAGCCCCTTGTTTCTGCAGAAGCATGAGTTACAAGTAGCTTGGAATCCACTGTTGCCTGAAAGTTTCTGCAAAAGCCAGTCAGATCCTATTAGGCAAATCAAGCATACCCTTAGAATCGGCTGTGAAAAGCCTTTGCCTTTGGAAGCAAGCAGGCAGTTATTTAACCTTCTGCTTGAGACAGAATCAAATGACTTTTTTTTTCTTTAATTTCTTTGAAGGGTGGAGCAGCAGAGAGAGAGAGGGAGTAACAGAGTTGCCTACCATCTGCTAATTCACTCCCCGAATGGCTGCAGCACCCGGGGGTGCTAGGCTGAAGGCAGGAGCCAGGAACTCCATCATGGTCGCCCACACGGGTATCAGGGGCCCACATATTTGAAACCATCATCCGCTGCCTTCACATTAGCAAGCAACCAGATCAGAAGCAGGAGACGCAGGTCTTGAACTGGCACATTGAGAGACATCCTGATTTGCTGTGCCACAATGCTAGCCCTGGATTTTATGGCTTTTAAAATGCTGTACTTTTTTATTCTTTTTTTTTTAAGAAAATGATTTATTTTTATTGGAAAGGCAGATTTACAGAGAGAGAGACAGAAAGACCTATCTGCTGGTTCACTCCCCAAATCACTGCAACAACCAGAGCTGAGCCAATCCAAAGCCAGGAGTCAGGAGCTTCTTCTGGTTTCCCATGTGGGTACAGGACCCAAGGCTTTGAGCCACCCTCAACTGCTTTCCCAGACAATAAACAGGGAGTTCTATGGGAAATGGAGCAGCCAGGGTGAGAACCAGCACCCACTGGGGGTACCAGTGCTTCCAGGTGGAGGATTAGCCAGTTGAGCCATCACAGAAGCCCCAGTTGTTTATTCATTTATTGAAATTTGTGTGCATCCAGTGAATACCGTTTAACAATTACTCTGTGTTAGCTATAAGTCTAACAAATTTCAAGATTTGTACTTTTTTTTTAAGATTTATTTTTATTATTTTTTTATTGGAAAGGCGAATATACAGAGAGGAGAGACAGAGAGGAAGATCTTCCATCCGATGATTCACTTCCCAAGTGAGCGCAACGGCAGATACTATGCCAATCCAAAGCCAGGAGCCTCTTCCAGGTCTCCCACGCGGGTGCAGGGTCCCAAAACCTTGGGCCGTCCTCGACTGCTTTCCCAGGCCACAGGCAGGGAGCTGGAAGGGAAGCGGGGCTCGCCGGGATAGGAACCAGCGGCCATATGGGATGCCGGGCGTGCAAGGCGAGGACCTTAACCACTTGTGCCACCGCACTGGGCCCTGTACTTTTTTTTTAAAGGAGGGAAATAAGACACTTGAGAAGCAAGATAACTACTGAATTTTCTTTGTTTTTTTTTTAATGCTACATTTGTCTCAGATATTAAATAACAGTTTTTTTTTTTAAGAAACTCAGTTTTGTTGGTTTTTCTTATGTACTATTTGGCTTCCATTGAAGAAGAAAACCCTGCTTTTTTAGATTCACAATTTAATATTTTGCCTGATGTTAAGTATAATGTAAAGTAGTTTTAACAAGTCTCAGTAGTGCATACAATTTTTTGAACAACTTAATTTTGTTAAGCAGTGTGGATGATAATAAAAATGTGTTACAACACAAAGGGTAAGCATCGATGGGTCATGGTTAGTCTGTATAGTTTACAGAGGGAAATAAATACTAGATATTATGAGAAGCAGAGTAGATTGAAATTAGGAATGTTCTTGTATGTGGAATTAATGTAATCTTCAACTTAGTTATGTAAATTCTGAAACATAGATCAGTTAATACATTGTAGTCTTTGCAAAAGTCATGAATTTTTTATTTTACAACTCCATAGTGTTTTAATAATTGTATTCTGTACAAGAAGTGTGCTTGTGGTCAGCATTGTATATGCTGACTCGGGCCTTTTCTCTTGGTTTTCTCACTTGCTTGTGTGGCTCAGCTTTACAATTCTGTCAGGTTCAGTGAATGCAGGCATTCTTCACAGCTGCTTTTCCTCTTTCAAAACAGAGTTAGCAGGAGAGAAAAGAGATGTTCCATTCACTGATTCTCTCTGCAGATGGCTGCAGCGGCTACGGGTGAGCCCGGCCGAAATCAGAAGCCAGGAACTTCTTGTGCGTCTCCCGTAGGAGTCGCAGAGGCCCCGGGCACTTGGGCCATCTGCTGTTGCTCTTTCCAGATTATGAGCAGGGGGAGCAAGTACAAGTCTTGCAGCACTGAGCTGCTGTGGCATGTTGGCTGATCTTTGAAGCAGAATGGTGAGATGCAGTCTGGACCTACAGAAGAACTGTTTTGTTTGGTCTGATACACCAACATAGATGACCCTCATTGCTCTGCGAAGTTGCTGGATTGTTTTTTTTCTTTTGGGGAGATAGTGGAGATCTCCATCTCCACTTGGTTCACTCAAGTAGGCAAGCTTACCTTTGACGTGCATCTGGACATGTTCCTCTGCTGTGTATGAGAGTCTACGAGGCGGTGTGGTCCCGCATGTGGCTGTGTCTGCCAATTCAGGGCCCACACCCACGGCTCTGCACTCTGGGACTGGAATCCCAAGGTGGTCTAAAGCCAAGAGGGCATGAACGCACTGGCTGCCTGCAGATGCCATAGACCATCAGGGGGATCCAGGGCAGATCCCGTCAAGGCAGGGCTTCCTGAGGGGGCCTCAGGTGACTGGCCTTCAGGACTTGGAAGGGACACAGGCAGCAACCCCCCGAGTGACCAATACTGGCCTCTCAGGTGCACTGCCCAAGCCAGGTCGGTGTTGTTCAGCGGGGCATGGTGACCCCTGCCTGTGTGTGCCTGGGGCTGTGCTGCTGTATGTTTTAAAGGTAACTTATTTCCCAAAGATAGGATAAAGTGACACTGCTGCCTTGCTGTTCAAAATTAACTCAAGGAGACAGTAACAGCACATATTTTGAGTGATTCAGTACCTAATTAGTAAATTCATTCCATTTAGACATCCCTTAGACTCTTGTGACTTACTAGACCCAGTATGTTTTTCCCTTTGTAAAAAAAAAAAAAAAAAATTACTTTATAAGGACTTTGGTGGTCCCTGAAACCCTAAGTATAAATTTAGCCAAATGTATTTAGACTTTTCACATTTTTTTTTTTGGTCTCTCACTTAAAGTAAATGACACTTTAAAAAAAAATGTTTTCATTTTTTATTTGAAAGACTGAAAGGGAGGGAAGGACAGTTCTTCTTTTCTATCCACTAGGTCAGTACCTAAACGCGCTGTTACAGTTTCAATCTGGGCCATGCCGAAGCCAGAAGCCCAGAACTCCATCTTGGCCCTCCCACATTGGTGTCAGGGATCCAGCTACACATTGGTGTCAGGGATCCTAGCAGGAAGCAGCATCAGAAAGTGGCTACAGCTTGAATCAGACACTCCAGTATGGAATGTGGGTGTCCCAAGAGGCGATTGAACTGCTAAGCCAAATGCTTACCCTGACAGTTTTTTCCTCCTCGGTATCTTCTATGGGAAACGATTTTGAAAGAGTAGAAGAACGGTGAAGACAGGTTTCCTGCTGGTAGAACGGGAGCGCCGTGTGCTGGATTACCGAGAGAGCCCTCAGAGGAATCAGGCCATGTGCTTGCGTTTTGAAATGCCGTCTGCGTGCTATTAAACTCCAAGTGTTTCGACTGATATTTCCGCTTTAGATGTTAGGGCCTTGGTTTTTTGTTTGTGTTTTACTTGAGAATCTACAGATTCTATTACAAAGTAAAGAATTTAGCCTGAGAAAGAACATCTAGAACCTTTGATTGTCCCCTTCCCCTCCACCATCCTTGAGGCAGACTCCGGAGATCAGCCCCACTCTGCTCACGGTTAGGGATTAGATTCCTCTGGAGGACCTGGGAGATGCCTAAACTGGAACCCTCTAGAGCAGACTGCAGGAGTGGTTTTAGGGAACCAGGAACTAAATGACCGGCTTTGTAATGAGTAGCATTCATCCCCCAGGGAATGCAGCCCTTTGAATCCTGGGTCTGGAGACAAGACCTGCCTGTCCACTGGATAGCAGCTCTCCTGCCCCTGGCATCAGAAATTTGGTCTGGTGTGGTAGCCTAGTGGCCAAAGTCCTCGCCTTGTGTGCACTGGTTTCCCATATTGGTGTTGGTTCTAATTCCAGTGGCCCTACTTCCCATGCAGTTCCCTGCTTGTAGTCAGGGAAAGCAGTCAAGGACAGCCCAAAGCCTTGCACCCATGTGGGAGACCCGAAAGAGGCTCCTGGCTCCTGGCTTTGATTGGTTCAGCTCTAGCTATTTTGGCCACTTGGGGAGTGAATTAGAAGATGGAAGATCTTTCTCTTTCTCTCTGGAAATCTGACTTTTCAATTTAAATTTTTTTTTCAATGAGCTGAAAGGAAAGGGAAAGAAAGGAAAGGAAAGTGAAGGAAAGGAATGGAAAGGGAAGGAAAAGAAAGGAAGGAAATGGAAATGGAATTTGGAGACAGAAGACCCCGAGTATGGGAAATGGTCAGGCCTGCACGTGAGGTTGTAATTATACAGAACGGCTCTTAGCTGCTTTTTGTTTGTTTTTAGTGATATCTGTGTCATAGGAAGTTAGACCTGTTTGCAATGTTAAAGAACTGTGCTGCATACATAGGTATCTCATGTCTTAGTCTATGTAGTGAAAACTTTTGAAGCGCGGTCCATGTGGTAGTTCATCCGGTGGTCTTACCATCTGATTTGAGAACAGTGTGAGGGGCTCCTCCAGCAGACCTCCACATCTCCTTGCTAGAGTCTGTCCTGTTCATTTTTTTTTAACACGTTTTTTAAAAACATTATTATTTGAAAGGTGGAAAGAGTAAATCTTGCTTTTGCTGACTTGTTATTCAGATGACCATAATAGCCAAGACTGAGGCAGGCGGAAGCCAGGAGCCTTGAAGCCAATTCAGGTGTCCGGTGGGGGAGGGAGCTGGCACCCAGGCACTTGCTTGGTCATTTGCTCTCTCCCACCACATGCACCAGCAGAAAGCTACATCATAGGGCCTGGCATGGTAGCTTAGTGGATACAGTCCTGCCTTGCACGCACCAGGATCCCATATGGGCACTGGTTTGTGTCCCCGCGGCCCAGGTTCTCATCCAGCTTGTGGCCTGGGAAAGCAGTCGAGGACGGCCCAAAGCTTTGACCCTGCACCCACTTGGGAGACCCTGAGGAGGCTCCTGGCTTCAGGCCAGCTCAGCTCCAGCTCTTGCAGCCACTCGGATAGTGAATCAACGGACCGAAGATCTTCCTCTCTGTCTCTCCTCCTCTCTGTATACGTGACATTCCAATCACAATAAATAAATCATTAAAAACGAGCTGCTTCATAAATAGAGGTGCCAGCACTCCAACCAGGCCCTGCCACTCTATGATGCATCTTGCTCAGTGTCCAGCTGTTGTGTCAAACACCTTCCCGGAGTGTCCCTTTGAACGTTTGATTTGGCTTCTATCCTTGCTGCCTTCTTTTAAATATGATTTCTGTAGGGACAGAATAAGTTAACTTACCTGGAGAGGATTTCACAGTGCCCAGTACGTGTTTATAGTACTGTGTCTGCTTTGACTGTGTGTCGTTGTCTTTTTAGGTGACTGTCTTGGAGGCCAAAGACAGAATCGGAGGCCGAGTATGGGATGATAAATCTTTGAAGGGCGTTACGGTGGGGAGAGGAGCCCAGATCGTCAATGGCTGTGTTAACAACCCGGTAGCACTGATGTGTGAGCAGGTGAGTTTAAGATTTTATTGTGTGGTGAAGAATGTTGCTTAATGATCTGTGATTATTTTAACATTTATTGTATGTGGGTGAAAAGGTGATCTTTTCATTTGTTTATTGTTTATAATCCTTGTCTGTGTTATTGCTGAACTAAGATCTTTTTCTTTAAAAATATATATCCATTATTATGGATAAAGGAAAAGCCAAATTGTCAGTTTGTGTGTGTGTAGCATTAACATTCTCTAGCGTGATACCTTACGACAGTCCCTTTGTCCCCTCTGCAAAGGAAATAAGAACAATTACCTCTACCTAGAACTAGAGGATTTCAATGATTTTTTCCCCCAGGAACTTCTCTCTTCTTTTGATATTTTCAAGCAACTTGATACTTTCATAACTTCAGGTTTGTCAGATTTAACAGATAAAACTACAAGATTCTTTAGACATTCAGATAAGCAACTGATTTTTTTAGTGCAAGTATGTCCCAGATATGAAATACTTCATATGCCGTACCTGTACATACTTACACTTTAAAAAATAGGTGTTATTTATCTGAAAGTCACATTTAACTGGGCATCTTGTCTTTTATCTGGCGTCCTCATGTGGTTTTTTTTTTTCCCCGAAGGCCTGGTAGACTCAAGGTTTTGTCTGAAGCAGTCAGTGGATTGTTTACTCAATCTTGGCTTCAGTGTGTGTGTGTGTGTGTGTGTGTGTGTGTATGTGTGTACGTGCGAGCTCGTGTGTGTGCTCACTTATGAAAAGAGGGGGAGTGTTAGAGCATGCATGTACAGCTTTACCTGGAAGGTCGTCCACGCGTGGCCGAGTGCTGTAGCTGTCACCCTCCTGCAGTCTCGCAGGTTTCACGCTGCTGTCCTCACTGTGTGACTTTCCTGCTGGTCACAGCTAAGCACATTCGGCGTCTCTGCTTGGTGGCTAGACCCTGTTCTCCACAAGAGCTCTGTCTGACTTCAGCTTAGAATCTGCATATTCTTTCCAGGAAAAAAAATGTTCACCTTCTTCTTATTATTTTTGAAGCTTGGCATCAGCATGCATAAATTTGGAGAAAGATGTGACTTAATTCAGGAAGGTGGAAGAATAACTGACCCCACTATTGACAAGCGCATGGATTTTCATTTTAATGCTCTCTTGGATGTTGTCTCTGAGTGGAGGAAGGATAAGACTCAGCTCCAGGATGTCCCTTTAGGAGGTATGGGGGGAACGGTGTCCTGCGTGGTCCATCCTCGTCTCTGCTAACCTAAGCACCGTCAGTCCGTGAGGTTGGATGTCTGCAGTGGGGCTGGCCTCTCCTAGTGTCATTCCTTCTGCACTGATGAACTGTCGGGACTGCCCCTCACGGGGAAGCCCACGTTCCCCAGGAAGCTTTTCCATGCCTCTGTATGCACACACACACATGAGCCTTACAGAATTATCTGAGTGGTTACTTTTACATTTGCCAGAGGAAATGTGAGGTAAGCCATAAGTAAATAAATCATTACCCTGGAAAGTCTTTAACTAAAACTCTGTGTGCCAGAATTTTTTAAATTTTCCTTAAAAAAATTTTTTTTTCTAATATGTCTTGGTTAAGGATTCAAGAGTGTGTATCATATTTCAAAAAGTTTAATTCAAAATCTTTCATGTTTGCTACTTGAACAAATCCTACTAACTAAAACTCTTTGGAAAGCAGGACAACCTACACTGAATAATGCCATACAAGTGCAAACTGAGATTTTACTGTGGGGCTTAAGAGTTCTGTAACCTACAGTTTTGTAACATGAACACATTCACCTGTAGTTCGTGGAGGCTTGTTGGAGTTCCTTAAACTGTGAACTCAATTTGATAAAAGCTCATTTGCTCCAACTGTGTCTTTGCAAGGGTTCTCATTTCTTAGGCTGACGGATGTTTCGTCTCTGTTGGGAGTAAACTCGGCGACAGCAGCTGTCTTACTTGTCTCCTCCTGCTTTGCCTCCGTAATTAACCTGCCACCTCTTAAAAGCATGTACTCTGACCACCCTTAGTAAATTGCTGACTGGCAAACCATGAAACAGAACATTGTTCCAAACAATGATCTGTTACAAGTTAGTGGAGAATGCGAATTAAAAGGCAAATTTGTCTTTGGACAAACTTTGAAATTCGTGTATAGAATTTTCATAATACATATTTTCTGTCAACTTTTTGAAGACCTGTATAAATGCATGGATTTCAGAACTTTTTTGCACCAAGTTAAAAATCTTGTAATTCCAGTTAAGTGCCCATATATATTCCAGTCAACTTTGGTTAAATTCATTCTCAAACCAAGTAACAGGTTCTTAAGTTTTCTGGAGTTGAGGTCAGTTATGAGCCTGACCGGAGCTAGTCTGAGAATTGTTAGTAGTTTACAGCTTCCTGGTCGTCATTAACTGGCATTTTCTCTATATCTCTTTCAAAGAAAAAAAAAAAAAGAGCTAGTAACATGCCTTGCGTTGGCCTTGACTTTATAGAAGTCGTTAAAGAAGGCTTAGCGGTGCTTACTGTGTAAGAAATTGTCTCATCTTCCTAACGTGGAATCTTAAAAGCTTTGCTAGTAGTGTACACATCTCTACATAAAGTCACAGTTATATCCTGCCATTCACTGTTTCAGCTGTCTGAAAACCTCACCTTTTTAATTTTATTAATTGTACTGCATTATGTGACACAGTGTTATGGGCACTGGGATTCCCCCCACCCCTCCCCGAACCCTCTCCACATGGTGGATTTCTCCACCTTTGAAAACCTCACCTTATTCGCCCATTGGTGAAAAAGACAAACACTTAAGAAGCTCGCATTCCGTTTCATGTGGAATGGGCACTGAAGAATTAACCTTAATTTACATTGAAATTACATCAGAGCCCTTTTCATTCCCTTTTTATTTCTGTGTTATCTTGTTTTCTTGATTCTTCCCCTTCCACTAAAAGACTGGCAGACCAGGAGCTGCATATATAAGCAGGCAGAAATGGGGTTATTCCTGAGGCCCCAGACGTGGCCAGAGGCCCAGGGATCTAGGAAGAACAGCTCAGCCTCAGACCCTTTGGGCAGCTTCTGTAGTATATCAACTGCACATCTTGTTTTTAATTTTTATTTTTGGTTGAGATTCGGAGTTCCCGACTGTTGGTTTACTACTCCCCAAATGCCTGCAGTAGCCAATGGTAGGCCGGGCCAAAGCTGGAAAAACTTTGATGAAAACCTGTGTTGTACAAAAACTACATGTTATGCCCCACTCAGGTCTGTTTGTAACCACGCTTGGATTCTGTGATGTTCACGATACATGGTTGTCTCGCTGGAAAAGCTGTCAGAATTAACTACACTAGAGTCCCGTCACCAAGAAGGGAATGTAAGATAGCAGTGGAATGACTTCATAGAGCAGTGTCTTTGTATTTAAAAGTTTTAGGGTTGGGTGTTTGACCTAGAGGTTAAGTAGCCACTGCTTAAAGTACTCAGGTACCATGTTGGAATTCCTGAATTTGATTTACAACTTTTTTTTTAAGATTTTTTTTTTTTAATTTGGAAGACAGATTTTATAGAGGAGGGTTTTCTTTTTTCTTTTTCTTTTTTTCTTCTTTTTTTTTTGGAAAGGTAGACAGAAAGATTTTCCGCCCACTGGTTCACTGCCCAAGTGGGACTTGAGCCAATTCAAAGCTAGGAGCCAACAATTTCTTCCAGGTGTCCCATGCAGGTGCCAGGTCCCAAGGCTTTGGACCATCCTCCACTGCTTTCCTAGGCCACAAGCAGGGAGCCAGACAGGAAGTGGAGCAGCTGGGGCATGAACCAGTGGCCATATGGGATCCTGGCACATGCAAGGCGAAGACTTTAGCTACTAGGCTATTGCATTGGACTCAAGAGAGATTTTCCATCCACTGGTTTACTCCCCAAGTAGCTACAATAGGTGGAGCTGAGCCAAATTCAAGGCAGGAGCTAGGAGCTTCTTCTGGGTCTCCTATGTGGGTGCAGGGCCCAAGCGCTTGAGCCATCCTTTGCTGCCTTCTCAAGCCATTAACAGCGAGCTGAGTCAGAACACTCAGGAGTAGCCAGTGCATAAACCAGTGCCCATATGGGAATGCCAACACCACAGGTAGAGCCTGAGCCTAATATGGCACATAGCTGTTTGTTCTGCTTCCGACTTGCTGTCCATGCAGACACTGAGAGCCAGTGTGGTACCAGGGCAGGCTCGTGCCTACCACAGCACACGGAAGATGTAAACCGAGTTTCCCAGCTGTGGACTTCAGCCCAGCCCAACCCGGGCCGCTGTGGGCATTTGAGTAAGGAAGGAACAAATGGGAGTCCTCTCCATCCGTCTGTCTTGCCTGTTGGAAAACAAAAAGTTCCCAGTGTATGTTTTTATTGATGAGGAACATCTAGGGCCTGAGAGGGTGCCGGGCGATGCTGGCCACACAACATGGGTTTGGGGGTTGGCAGAGGATGATGAGGGGAAAGTGGGAGCAGGAGTCTTGCAGGGTGAGTTTGAATTTTCCAGGGAAAGATTGGGCAGCAGGGCCTGTAAGACGTCAGGTAGTCGTTACTTCTGGCTTGGGTTTTGGGAGGAACCAGTAGCTGAAGACAGGTGATGAAAGTCCACGTGGACTGTGCTGATGGCTCCTCCCTGTGGGCCACTTTGCTGAAGTAAGGTAGGATAAGGACCTGACTCTCGGGTGATATGTATCATCTTGAGCAAAGTAAGAAACACTGTGAGCAGAAAGGAAACCTTTCTAAAGATACACAACCCTACAAACTTTGTTCCCACTTCAGGTTTCACTTCCTGAAATAAATTAGTCCTATGACGAGACCCTCCCCCCCCGCCCCCCCCCCGTCACCTCCCACCCCGTGTTTCCACCTGGAAGAGATGTGGGAAGTTCTGGGGGTTTGCCTGGTGAGAGAGGAGGGATGGAGAATCTTGTTAAATTTCTTTGTTCTGCTGATCCATTGCCCTTGCAGAAAAGATAGAAGAGATCTACAAGGCTTTCAAGCAGGAATCGGGGATCCAGTTCAGTGAGCTGGAAGAACAGGTGCTTCAGTTCCACCTCAGCAACCTGGAGTATGCCTGTGGCAGCAACCTGCATCAGGTACGGGGGGCCGCTGGGCAGCGCGCCCTGGGCCGTGGCAGTGTGCCACGTGTGGCCTGTGTGGTTTGCATGTCTGAACGGGGATCTTGGGAGGTTTCAGAACACAAAGAATGGTGGGCTGGCCACCAGTGGTAGATCATGTGAAACCTGCAGTGGTTTCATATACTTCAAGAGTAGGAGAGAAACCCTTCTTTGCCCGTGCCTTTGAAGCCGCTCTTCCCATACAGCCAGAGGAAGCAGGGCTGTTGGGCAGAGCTGGGTGGACAGGACCTTGCCCTCTGCGCAGGCCCAGCAGGTGTTTCTGTGCAGTTGTGTAGTGTAAAGCACCACGCTCCAGACGCTGCAGTTGTGTCTCCTTGCCGTTCTGCTCTGTTAATCTTGTTAAACTAAACCTAAGCTTGCCCAGTGCGTTCAGCCACCTGGGGCATCACCCTCCACCCTCTTCATCTTCAGCAGACACTCCAGGGAGCAATAAGTTTGTCCTCTTGGATTCTTCCCTGTTCCCATTTGGTTCCTCATGGTTATTGGAATCACATAGGATTGTCAGATCCAACTGGATATCAACACAGAATTTCTGTGTTGCAGACGGACTTTAGTAATGGAGTCTCACCTCCATGGAATTCTGCTTTGCCAATTGTCAGTGTAGAAAGTCCACTTTGGTTCCCACCAAGGATTGGTAGGCACACTGAGATCGCATAGGCCTCTCCTTTTAAGTGAGACTTTTCTTACATTACTGGGAGATTTTCTCCCCGTGGGTTCCCAGCAGCTCCCTGGCTGCTGTGTCTCCCTGTCCCCGAGGCCAGTAGCCCTGTGTTCCTGCCTTGAGTGGCCACTGGACTCAGGCTCAAGGATTCTCCCTCCTGAGTTCCCAGTGTCTCCCATTGTTTCCCAGGTGTCTGCTCGCTCCTGGGACCACAATGAATTCTTTGCCCAGTTTGATGGAGACCACACTCTACTGACACCTGGCTACTCTGTAATCATTGAAAAATTGGCAGAAGGACTGGACATTCGGCTCAGATCTCCAGTGAGTATGGGCAGCGGTGGGAGGTTCTGGGGAAGTCTAGGGCCCGTGGGCTACTCAGCAGACCAGTGGTCCTGTTGACGTCGGCCTGTGCCTGCAGGTGGTTCTGTGCTTCAGTCGTAGCCTGTGATCAGTAGCATTTGCCTTGTCAGTTAGGGTTGCTGCTGTTTGCAAGCAGTGCTGGCCCGGGTCATGTTCAGGTTGCTCTCAGCCTTCTTAGTCCAGGGCAGTTACTTTCACTGTGACATTTCCCCTCTAATTCTGTGCCAGTGCATTTGTGGTACACATTGTAATCATAGAGATGATCCTTTTAGTGTATATTTCAATTTAAACTAATTTCCAAATTCTTTTAAAAATTATGTTTTATTTCTTTATATTTGCAAGACATAGCAACAGTGAGCTGGGAGGAGAGAGTACTTTGCTGTGTACTGGGTCACTCTCCCAGATGGCCATGTGGCTGGGACTAGACTGTGCCAAAGCCAGGAGTCAGGGACTGCTGGTCCTTGAGCCAATGTCTTCTGTCTTCCAAGGCACGGTAGCATGAAGCAGGATTAGAAGTGGAGCAGGCAGAACTTGAGCTGGTACCCTGATGTGAGATGCCAGCATCACAGGCGGTGGCTTAACCCATTGTACTACAGTGCTGGGCCCTAGATTTTCTATATTCTCACACTTTATAATTTTATATCCATTGAGTCAATAGTTCCCTATAGTCTTGGAGGTGTAAACTCCCATAATAGGATACTCAAAGGACCCAGGTCACACAGTTCCATCCTTCATCCTCCTTCACAATTGCTTTTCTCGAGCAGGTGCAGAGCATTGATTACACAGGGGAGGAAGTACAGGTCACCACCACCGAGGGCACAGGGTTTTCTGCACAGAAGGTAAGTGCCTCGGTCCCTCTGGAGTGGGAAGGGCTTGTTGGATTTCTGCTGAGCTGTAGGTCTCTACTGAATTGTGCAAAGATGGACCTACTTGATTTAGTGGATCCATCACTAGTAGAAATTCATGGAGGCTGATGTTTGGTGTGGTGGTTGGCATGCTGCCTGAGCGGTGGGCGTTTGAAATGTCGCTTGGGATGCCCGCATTCCCTGTCGGAGTGGCTGGCTTGAAGTCTTGACTCCACTCTCCACTGCAGCTTCTTACTAAGTTATACCCTGGAAGGGTTCCCACCATCCCTATGGGAGACCCAGGTGGAGTTCTGGGCTCCTATCTTTGGCCTGGTCCAGCTCCAACTGTTGCAGGCTTGAGGGGGAGTGAACCAGCAGATGGGAGAGCTCTGTATTTTTCATGTGATGGCCAGTCTGTCTGTCTGTCTGCTTTTCAAAATTCAAAAGCATATGTAAACAAAAATCATATGACCTTTTAAAAAGAAAAAAAATCCCTTGGCCAGACTAGGTTGGCAAGGACTGTATGCCATACTCTATTTTTGGGTTAACTATTAAAACTCTGAGAAGTCCTGCTAAGGTTTTTTTGTGGTTCACCATTGGACCGTTTTCAGATAAAGCAGTTCTCTGTTTTCATGTTCGGACGTTGATAAGGTCTCTCTCACAGCCTAAACGTGCTGCAAACACCTTAAGCCAGTGGACAGTACAGCTGAGTGAGTCCTGCACCTGAAATCACACTTGGATTTCTAGTACATTAGACAGCAAAGTTGCTTACTTGGATTGAAGGGCAGTTCATCAACTGTAAATGCTCATTTCAAGTTTAGTTACATCTAAGATTATTGAAACATTCTCTAGACTGGCTGTGCTAGTCAGTGTCCTGGTCCCTGACATTTGTGTAGGAATAGGGGTTGCATGTCACATGTCTACAGTATAAGCTGGGGCGGGGGGTGTCCTGATCCACCTGCAGCTATTCTCGGCTGCAGCTCATAGTCATCAGCTCATAGTCATCTGGGAAGTGTTCAGAAGTTGCGAAGCCCCTACACAGAGACGCTCCCTGACTCTGCTCACTGCGCATAAAGCTTTCCAGCTCACACCCGTGTGCAGCCAATGTTGAGAACCACTGACTCATGTCCTTTCTGTAAGCCCCTGATAGTGGAGGGTCTTCCTAATGGGAGAGCCTTTCTCTTTTAATTACTACCTTGTAAAATTGAGGGCTGGTGTTGGTACAGTGTATTAAGCCAGCACCTGGGACAGCTGGCATATTGGCAACCAGTTTGCATCCTAGCTGCTCCACTTGCAATCTACCAAGTACCTGCCAAGGTGCTTGGAAAAGCAGCAGAAGTTGGCCCAAGAATAAATTAAATTGTGGACTGGTGCCAGCATTCGGGCTAGCAGGTGTAATGTGGTTAAGATGCCTGCCTCCCACACCAGAGTGCCTGGCCTAAATGCCTGCCTCAGGCCACTGCATCCAGCTTCCTGCTTCCTGCTTGCACACAGCCCAGCGACAACAAGCGAGAACTCAGAGGAGAGGATTCCTGTTACCATGTGGTAGACCTCGATTGAGTCCTTCACTCGGGGTCACTGGTGTGGGAAAAGGGCAGAGGCTCTTTCCCTGCCTGTGAAATTTTCTGAATTAACAGAATGGCAGGTCGTCTGGGTTCTGTGGTTCTGCCTCTGGTGTCCAGGCTACGAGTTCCACTTGCCCTGTCCCTGGGTTGTGAGCACGTGTGCCCTCTGTGTGTGTATGCTGGCCTGCTGCAGGAACACATCACAGCTGCAGCCTGGAATCATGGAAACCTGTATGTTTATGCGGCCAGCACATGTCACCATACTACACATTCTCCAAGAACTTTCTCAAGACTGCTTCTGTGCATGGATTTCAAAATTTTTTGGTACCAAAATAAACGTTTGATTTCTATCTTCCACAGATTTTTTTGAAGTCCCCTCGCATGTAATCCAGCTGGGCATCTGTTTCTGTCATTGTGTTATGGTGTTGGTGTTATTTTTTGTTTTGGTTGAATGATAGGTAATAGCTGTAAAATACACTCTAAAGGTCCTGAGTGTAGAAAAGATGTTTTGCATTTCATAAACTTTTCATGTGATAGAAACTAATGAATTTACTGTAAGCTTCCTGTGATCCTGAACATTAAGCCAAACAGACTCCTGGATGAGAACCTGAGTGACGGGGAGCAGTGCCTGGGGTTGTGAGGTCACCTGCTCTGACGCCGGGCACTGCACGTGCTGCTGGTAAACTCACCTGGCCCAGACTCCCTTGCGCTGGAGGCTGTCAGCATGTGGCTTGTGCTTTACCACTGCCACCCCCGGCGATGAGGTGCTTGGTTCTTGGGCAGGGTTAGTCAAGCCTTGGATCCAGCCCTTCATTCCAAGGGGTCGAAAGAGGCAGGGCTTGCAGCACCCATTTTGCTGGCACAGGTTGTTCTCTAAGAGGCTCGATTCTGAAACTTCCTTCCTTCTTTCCTCCTACCTTTCTTTCAAAGGTAGATTTATTTTAAAAAGGAGAGACAGAAAGATCTTCCATCCACTGGCTCACTCCCCAAATGGCTACAAGGCTGGAGCTGAACTGATTGGAAGCCAGGAGCCTCCTGTTAGTCTCCCACGTGGGTGCAGGGCCATCCTCTAATGTTTTCCCAGGCCACAAGTAGGAAGCTGGGTTGGAAATGGGGTAGCTGGGATGACAGGCACTTGCAGGTGGAGGATTAACCAGTTGAGCCACTGCACCAGCCCCCGATTCGAACAGTAGTGCCGTGGAAGTAGACCCAGAAACTTCTTCCTGCATGGTAAGGCGTTGCAGGTGGCAACTTCACATGTTATACCACAGGCCTTTAAGGTTAGCGAGGTGAGTGCCCCTTCCTTTCATGGCTGCTTTTGGCAGAGCTGAGCAGCGGCTTGGCTGCACATTAGCATGTGTTAGGAAGGATGACTCCACGTTTAAACCTGTTTCCTCTCAGGGTTAGGACCTGCTTGCTTTTCTGTCCTAGGAAATCTATCAGTTATAAAGAGCTTTTTTGTTTTTATGGTTTCTCTTATTTACTCGAAAGGTAGGCTGACAAAGACTTCCATCCACTGATTCCCAGATGGCCACAGCAGCCAGGGCTGGGCCGGGCTGGGTCTCTCATGTGAGAGCAGGGGCCCAAGCATACGGTCATCTGCTGCTCTCCCAGGCACATCAGCAAGGATCTGAGTGTTGCAAGTAGAGCAGCAGGACTCAATCCAGCACTCCAAAATGAGATGCTGATTATTCAGGCAGTGGTCTAACCCACTGCCCCACAGTGCCAGCCCCAGCCCCAGTGATCTGAATCCCGATTTCTCTGTGTGGATGCTACTTCTACTCAACGCAGGCATCCTTGTACAGTGACCACCTGCACAGTTGCCATGGCAACCCTTTTTCTTGTCAGTATAACAACATGGTTACAGTGGTGAGATTGTCCCGGACATGAGCTCATGGCATAGCTGTGGGTTGGATCCTTTTGCTGTGTGTTTTCTGACTGTGTTGTCTCCCACAGGTGCTGGTTGCTGTACCCCTGGCCATGCTGCAGAAAGGCGCCATCCAGTTTAATCCCCCACTGCCAGAGAAGAAAATGAAGGCCATCAGCAGCCTGGGCGCAGGCATCATTGAGAAGGTGACAGGGGACGTTAGCCTTAGGACTAAAGGGGTGCGAGTCAGACCGAAGGAGCTGCCGCTGGTAGGGGAGGGAGTGGTCCTTTCTGTTGGGATGGCTGTTTCTGAGGAATACGAAAGGCTGACATCAAAGCAAGCAGAGAACTGCTGAGTCACCTTTGAATTCAGGAGAATGCATCGCGACTCCCAAGTTTCAAATCTGCTCTAAATCAGTTCTCAGTTACCTCCGGCCCCCACCCCCCGACCTGCTTGTCTGCCTCCCAGTCATTGGCCTCAGTGAGTGGGGACAGGAGGTCACTTCCTCTGCCTTCCTAAGTGTCCCTTAGCAAAACTGGCTGTGCTGCAGCAGGTCCCAAGAGCTGTGCGTCTTGGGGCTGTCATTGCGGGGTGCTTTTGTTTCCGTCTCAGAGTGACTTATGACTTCAAGCTAGCCCGCAGGTTGTCTGTGGGACCCACCTTTCCTGCGTGAGGATGCATGGAGTGGGTGTGAAGCAGGGCACTCTCTGAGCACAGAGGGGGTGACGGGACCTGGAGGCAGGGAGCTGTCTGTCGTATGGAACTCGCTCTGTGAGAGTACAGCTCACGACGCTTCTCGGGCTGACTGCCGGTGAGACGACACACTGAGCCCGCTTCCTCTCGTTCGCTTTCCAGATCGCCTTGCAGTTTCCATACAGGTTTTGGGACAGTAAAGTTCAAGGGGCTGACTTTTTTGGACACGTCCCTCCCAGTGCCAGCCAGCGGGGACTCTTCGCCGTGTTCTATGACATGGATCCCCAGGTACGGAGGTTTGAGAAATGTGGTCTGAACGCACCGCTCGGCAGTCATGCGGGCATCCAGCGGGAGAATGAGTCAGTGTGCGGGAATCACCCCATATGTGTTTATAAACGGAAGAACACTGGGGCGGTTTCCAATACAAGGACAACCCCAGTATTTGCCTTTTCTTGTGTTTTAAACACTGATGCAGCTTCCCAGGACAGGAACCGGCTGCTGTATTAATGGCTATTTCAGCTTGAGAAGGGAGTTCTTAGCTAAAGCTTGTGCCAGCAGCCCAACTCTATGGACTTTGTGAGGGGGTTCCCAGCTAACTGAGAAGGGTGAGATGTGGTGGCCCAGGTGAGGGGGTCTTGGCATCAGAGGAAGGAAGGGGAGAGTATGCTTCTGCCACTGAAAGTCGAGCAATGTCACCTTGTCCTATTGCTACACACCAAAGAACAGCAGCCGTTGTCTTCAGCTTTTGGATTCAAGAAGCTTCCTGTGTCAGGTTTCACATGGACAGCTGGGCCTTTATTAGATGCGGCCAGGGATGCCCGGGTGCCGTATCCAAGAGCTGGGGTTCAGTTCTTTGCTCCAGTCCCAATTCTGGCTTCCTGCCAGTGCACCCCCATGGCAAGGCTGCAGGTCATGGCACAAGTACCTGGCCCCTGATGCCCACATAGGAGATCTGGATTGAGTTGTTGGCCCGCAGGTTTGGCCTCGCTCATCGCTGGCTATGTCTGGCATTTGCAAAGTAAACCAGTGGATAAGAGCCCTCTCTCTGTGTTTGTGTCTGCCTCTTGAGTCATTAAAAATGCATTTAAAAATACAAAAAGATAAATGACACAAGACTACTATTTCTTAAAAATAGGTTTCCCATAGAAACAAGGAGAGAATTCCTTTACCGTTTCAGAAGGGTTGCTTCCCATGACTTTTCCTGCAGATTTCCCTTCTCAATCTCTTTCTGAAACGAGTTCTGCTAACTGAGCAGCTGTTCATATTTGCTATTCGCACAGCCTCCTGTGGATTTGATCAGCAGGGAGTGGTAGAGTGTGGCCGGGCAGCTGAAGGGGAGGATAAGGGGCAGAGGGAAGTGTTGTGATTGGTTTGTGCAAGACCCTTGCGTGTTTGGAAGTGAGCAGTTTGAGGACTTGCATGCTCCGAGTACAAGGTGTGAGCCACGTTCCCGTGTGCCTCCAGAAGCAGCAGAGCGTACTCATGTCTGTGATCACGGGCGAGGCGGTGGCGTCCCTGCGGACCCTGGAGGACAAGCAGGTGCTGCAGCAGTGCATGGCCACCCTCCGGGAGCTGTTCAAGGAGCAGGTCAGAGAACACGCGGAGACGATGAGGAGCCTGCGCTCCACCTGGATAGCTCCTGTGGATGGAGCGTACCGAGTGGGAAGGGGTCACGGGGAATGGTGTGGCAGGGGCCCGAGTCAGCTTTCCTCCCAGGACTCACTTCTCCCCTGGGTGTTTGCTGGGCTGCTTGGGACAGACCATGCAGCAGAACCCCACAGCCTGAGTGGCTCAGGCAACTGAAATTTCAGTCATGCAGTTCCAGAGGCTGGAGTTGCAAGAACAAGGTTTCTCCCGAGGCCTCTCCTTCGTCTGCAGATGGCTGGCCTGTCCCTATGTGCGCGTGTGTGTGGGCCCTCTTCTTCAAAGATGACATCACAGTGGAATAGGCCCACCGTGGCTCAGTGCCTGCCGTGCCTTTATACACAGCTGTCCTCTTCACACTCCCATCCCTTTGTTTCCCAGGGATGTAAAATGCTCACACTTCTTGCAGATCCTGGGTTTACTCAAACCCCGGGGACTGTGAGCGCAGCCTTGGGCAGATGTCCTCTCCCGTCGTCTTCAGGATCAGGCCCAGCTGACTTCGAGTGGCACAGCCTGGGGTCTATAAACCACCACGGCCTCATCCCCAAGAGGAATGATGCAGTCACACGTTAGGGAAACTGCAGGGGGAATGACAGCTGTAGCAAAGGACCTCGGTTAACCCCCAGCTGGGATTTTTGTCCCAAAACTTGACTCAAAATTCATGCTTAAAACTGAGCAGTTCTCAGAGATTTCTCAGAGGGAGGCTTGTTCGAGGCCAGCTGATAAAATTGATTTAGTGAAGCACATCTCTGTCTTGCTGTGTTGTGGAGAAACCTGTCAGGCATCCCAGATAGAGATTGTCATCTCACCCTCCCTCTGCCTTGGCACCTCTGCAAGGGAGTGGAGCTCTTGGCTCCGGGCACGGAGCGAAGTCCAGGCGTGTGGACGTCATGTGGGGACAAGGCCTCGGATCTACAGAGGGTGGGGAGCAGCTGGAGTGCTGCCCAGTGAACTTTGTCCATGGAGGGTGGGACAGTTGCCGGTGGGATCTGGGCAGCGCCCTGTTGAAGTGACGTTTGCTGATCTCTTTATGCTGTGTTCAGGAGGTCCCGGATCCCATCAAGTATTTTGTTACACGGTGGAGCACAGAGCCGTGGATACAGATGGCGTACAGCTTCGTGAAGACGTGCGGAAGCGGTGAGGCCTACGACATCATTGCCGAAGAAATACAAGGAGCCATCTTTTTCGCCGGTGAGGTACGAATTCTGATGTGTTTTAAAAGCAGTTTCTGCCCAGAGTTAAGAATCCAGGTGAAGGCCTGGCGCGATAGCATAGTGTTTAAAGTTCTCGCCTTGAACACACCAGGATCCCATATGGGCACCGGTTCGTATCCCAGCAGCCCCGCTTCCCAGCCAGCTCCCTGCTTGTGGCCTGGGAAAGCAGCCAAGGACGGCCCAAAGCCTTGGGACCCTGCACCTGTGAGCGAGACCTGGAAGAAACTCCTGGCTCCTGGCTTTGGATTGGCTCAGCTCCAGCTGTTGCAGCCGCTTGGGGCATAAACCATCGGATAGATCTTTCTCTCTATCTCTCCTTCTCTCTGTATATCCACCTTTCCAATTAAAAAAAAAAAAAAAATGTCCAGGTGAAATGCTGTTGAATCGCTCAGGACAGCACTTGGCAACCGCATCTCGACACCGTCCACTCTGAGGCTGCATTAACTCTTCCAGCTGTTTCTTCTGGATTCTAATGTGTACTATAGAGGGATACGTGTAAAAGTTTATGAAAAATGGAACTTGTACTATGAATTTAGTCTTGGTGTAAAGGTTTTGAAAGCCATTCTGTTCACACTGGACATTTTGAAAAAGAGTATTATGTGCCCAATAAAGTTGTTCTTTTTGAGGCACAAAGAGAGAGTGGAGTGTGATCACATACTCCCAGAGGCCTGCTGCAGCTGGGCTGCTCAGGCTGGAGTCAGGAGCCAGAAAGGCAGTCTAGGTCTCCCAGGTGATTTGCCAGAGCAAGCGGAGCAGGCCTGGGCGACTGGAAGCGAGGCGCCCCGGTGTAGCAGGCGGCTGTTCCCAGTCTCTTAACCGCCACACTACACGCGGGGCCCCAAAAAGGCTTCGGCCTTTACTTCCCAAGCTCTTGGTTCTCAGAATTTTTTGGTGGTATTCTCAGTAAAGTTATTAAGGCTTTTGAATGATTTCCACCCCTTCTCTGCATCGTTTCCCATTTCCTAAACTGGGATTTAGTCTGCCTGCTGCATGTCCAAATGACTATTCTGGAATTGAGCCAGGCATTTATTATTAACATGTAAGCGAAAGCCACTGGAAAGCCCGAGCAGTAGTGGGTTGGGTCGCCAGCCACGCTCTGGGAGCAGTGTCTCTGCTCCTGGATATGCATGCAGAGAGCCTTATCAGGGAAAGTTGACCCAGTCCCCACCACCCCAGGGTATTCCAAGCTGTGACCTCAGGTGCTGTGTTACATGGTGATCTCTGTTTACCACATTATCTAATAGTTACTTTTCACCAGTTTTAGAGGCATGGGGTCATCCCTCCGCCTTTCCTCCTCCTCTCTCTACCCTCCCCTCCCAGTCTGTCCTGTGTCATCGCAGCAGTACAGTTCCTCGGTTCATGGTCATAAACCTTTCTGATATTCTGATATGCTAAGTACAAGAAAAAGCAGAAAACCTATAAACAAAACTTACAAATATGCTTCACAAGTGTCATTAAGATCCCACTTTCACTTGGGAGTAGAGAAACCAGTCCTCAAAGAACAAATATCATATGTTCTCTGATGACAACTAATACAGAGCACAAAATATTTTTGTATATATGCAGGTAAAAAAACGTGCCCCCTTAGCCGGATGGCTCTGATCACTGTAAGAGCCAACTGTGCAGGGAGCACAGCCAGCTGCCCCGAAGAGACGGCTCTTGCAGGCCAAAACCTTGGCAGCACGATTGAGCTTCCGTGCTTTCCTGTGCTACAATCCCCTCAGACTCTTGTGCAGACCCGAGGTTTTGTTCCTGTTGCTTTTTCTCACCACCCACCCCACCATTTCCTCCATACACCGACCTCATCCCTTCGCACACAATTTAGGTAACTTATTTTTTAAATTGTATTCAGAAGGCAGGAGCTCTTCCATCTGCTGGTTCACTCCTCAAATGTTTCCACTAGCAAGGGCTGGGCCAAGCCTATGCCAGGAATTCTGCCTGGGTTTTCTAACCTAGGTGGCATGGGCCTAAGCACTTGGACCATCTTCTGCTTTCTCAGGCATGTTAACAAGGAGCTGGACTGGGAGGAGAGCAGTCAGGACTCAAGCAGGTGCCCATTTGGGATGCTGGCATCACAGGCTGTGGTGCAGCACCGGCCCTAATTAGGTAACTTTATTCCGCGTGCAAATCTATACCTGTTCTTCTCCCCCAGATTGCCATGTAACAAGTCCCCAATTAAGGCTGCCTCTTGCCTCTCTTGGGCCCACTACAGCTATTCCTCAAGTCAGCTTGGCTTTTCAAGTGTACCTCCTCCCCAAACAGTCCTCACACCTTCTTGTCTTCTTGTTGAAGTTAAGGTCCATAATTTATCGATTTTTAACTTTTATCCTTTTGCTCTACCCATAAGGCAAAACTGTCTGCTGGATGAACGATTCATTTTTTATAATGATCTACACTCATTATACCAACTTGATTATTTAAGATGATGGAGAAGGACTATGGTCTTATATATAAAGGGGTGTGTGTGTGTGTGTGAGAGAGAGAGAGAGAAAGTGACTGGTTTAAGATGGTCATGTTTGGGACACATTCCTCTTGGCGGACTGCCGAATATATTTAGAATGAATCAGTATGGCAGTCTAGCAAGAAAGTCAGAAAAAATCAGATAATATGAGGTATTAATATGAGTATGCAGCAAGTAGCATCAATCTTTATTTTGAACTAAAGATATATGTATGCTTATGTTATCTTTTGAAGGAATTAATATCAAATTATTTCTTACAGGCAACAAACAGGCATTTTCCACAAACCGTTACAGGGGCATATTTGAGTGGTGTTCGAGAAGCAAGTAAGATCGCAGCATTTTAGCTAGAATTTATCTGGACTCAGCCTTCTGTACTCCAAATGGTAAAGTTTGAAACACATTAAACCTCATTCTTGCAAAGGAAAAAAACACTTTGTATAGCAAAACTGAAATGTTGTTGAGGCGATGGAATGTAAGCTCATCTTCGCACCCTGAAAGCACTGACTCAGAATTCCTTTTGCGCACTTATCCTTGTTTGCACTGTTCACAATTCCAACTGTGCTGTTAGACTTCTGGACTTTGTAAGGCAGAATAGAAAGCCTTAAGAGAGAACCTGGAATCAATTTCTTGCATGGTTGACTGATCAGTTTTCATACACTGAAAAAGCAAACCCTAGTAGGAATCGCTTCTTCACCAGAGAAAGCCACGTGACTTTCCTATGACTCAGTATCTACCAGTGAGCCTTAATGTCTTACATAACTCTACCCTTGAGCCGCTACTGTTCTGTTTTTAAATACAGCACAAATTTCCACTTGGGGATAAAACAGTCTTAGAAGCTGTTTCATATTGTACATATTTCTTCCCATTAGGTGTTCACAAGAAATTTAAATTCTGGTATCTTTTGATAAAATATTTTACATTTGTATACTCACTGGCAAAGCTGTGAAGTCTTTAACTGCCTTCAGTTACAGTACTGGGCCTTTGGTCTTCACACTCAACACAGGCCATTGTTTTTTTCTAAAGACAAATCTAAGTGAACAACACTCTTCAAATGCCCTCAAAGGTTTTGAGAACCACTAGCAAAATGATCTTGTAATTTAATGAAAACTCCTCTACATCTGCTTTTATTTTTTATCCAGTTATGTTTACAGTATTCTATAGGCAGGTCCACTGGAAAACTAGAAAGATGTGACATCTGGCAAATCCTGCACGTTCTCTAAGCCATAGTTTGAACCTCAAGAACAGGACAAAGGTATTTTTTTTGTACACATGACAAAACATTGTCATTCAGAAATCCACTGGTTTCAGCGTGTTTTCAATTTACAATGAAGATTTGAGAAATTCAGTTAGATGGATCTTCTTAGCAAAAGGGGAAGAACCCAGAAATTTACGTTTGTAAGTGGAAGTACCGCCACCGACCCACAAACAAATGACAAAAGCAAGGCGGCAGCAGCCTCTCAGAGCTAACACGGTAGAGCTGACATTAGGCTTATTTGTTGGGACTCATTGGTATTGACTGGGAAGTATTCTGCTTTGATTTCATGTGTTGAAATATTCAAATAGCATGCATTAAATGATAAATGCAAAATGTCAAGTTTGAAATGGCTCACAGTAAATCATTAGTTTCTAGCACTTGTACTGTGTGGCAAGCAGGGAAGAATCCCTCGCAAAGTGTGCTAAATGTATCTTGTCTCAAGGAAAGTACTTCTTTTAATAATTCATTCAAGGTACCATGGTACTTTTTCTCCTAAGTTACTCTGAATGTTTCATTATGTCTGAATATTTTGTAATTGAATTGCAGATCATGAATAAACGTGTGAAACAGCTTAATAAAACGAGACTTGTTTTTTGAAACATGCTGTGTACGGCAGTGATATTCTTTAGCAGTGCACCACTTCCCAAGAACTTCCACCATACCAGCTTCACCCAGTGTGCATCTTAGGTCACAGACATGACTACACCACTGATTGAGAGTTGTAATTTTTATTCACAAGGTTTGCAAGAATATTTAAAATCCAAAGCCAATTTGTAGGTCTCCCTTAGTTGCTTATAATTCCATTCCCTTATATTAAACATACCATTTCCTAAAATATGAACTACCAAGAAACAGGTCAAACCTGTGAAAACACTGGTTCACATTCAAAATCAGTTTCTATGATGCAAAGATTTTTTTTTAAACACTCCATGGATACATCGACTTATTTTGTTATAGCAGCATGGTTTAGTTTAAATTCAGAGATTTAATAAACTGATTAAGGAAAAGATAAAATCTGCCTCACTCAAGAGTGGTCCATATGCTGATTGAATAGAATCCTGATTGGCTAAAACTTCAAAACCAAAAGCCCCAATTACACAAATACGTGAAATTTTTAAATGTTAAAAATAATAAGCATGTTATTTCTGAGAAATACTTTGTCAGAGATATCTACGTCTGTGTAACATTTCTGGCACGACATCTGGTACTTTTGTCATAATTATGACAGCAGTCCAAGTTTTCTGTAGATATTTGCATTTTTATGGGCAAAGCAGTTATTAAAAATTGACTTTTACTAATAAGCTAAATGTGCTTGTATGTAATCTCTTCCCAAAAAGTTTTGGAAATTTTGATGTTTTGATCTGTCCTTACCATTTCTGCAGTCTCAGCAGTAAAACTACAGACTGACTACACTGGAAGGCAGGCCAGGAGAGCAAGGTCCTGCAATGCCTGGCCGCTGGGTGCCAGCTCCACTGCCCGCTCACACTGCTTCAACACTGACTGTTCATGGTTTACAACTAGAAAGATACCTACCCACATGAGTTTAAAAATTGATCTGCACAAAAGAAATTAAAAAAACTATATACAACAAATTGTTTTTTAAAGATACAAAAATAACTTCTGTCATGCTGACAATCTGACATTATATACATGCAGGAGAAGCTCTGATTTAGGCCCCTGGACAGCTGTGGTTTCTGTTCTCCGATCCACACCATCAGTGAGCTCTCACTCTGACAGAAGAGACGTGTATTCAAAATTCAAAATAATTCATGTACTAAATACTGCAACAGTCTTTGTATAAATGCCAGTGAGAGTTCTATTTAGTTAAAAGAATGTCTTAAGCAAGCTAATGTTAACTGCACTAAAACCCACATCTATCTATGACCTTATATAAAGAAATCAAAAATTTACAAAATACAACTATAAAAGCAAGGAACAATTACTGCCATGCACGAGTTTTTAACTAAAACCTGCATAGAAATGCAATTTAAAATGGCAAACTCAATTTTACGTGACACTCAAGACAGTAAAAGTAAAAGGTCAGCAGTTTAGTTCTGCCAACAATACTTAGCAAGGATTTAGAAAAGGAGTTACATTCTCTTTGCTGGTATAATGGTACAAATCAGATCTTCAGATGGATGGGAATACATCCTCTGCCTCTTCCTCTATCACAGTCTCAAGAGATTAGCTGCAAACAAAAGAGAAATGTTACTTTACCACGCCCCCCCAGGGAACTAAGCACACACAAACCTTCCCTTTTCCTCCCACATCCTTTCCACTCTCTCTGGGAAATGAGCTGCAGTTCCTGCTGAGCGCTCCATCATTAACCGCCCCCACATGAAGGCTCTCAAGTGGGACGAAAGGAACCATATGATCTTATCACACCTGCTATTTGGTGACAGGAGTATTGGAAAACACAAAATTCTTAATTCTTGGAGAATCAGGATGGCAGCAAAGGGTGCAGACATGTTTGAGATGATGGAGAATTATTAGGGTAAAGAACAGAGAACAGATTACAGAAAAAAATAGGGATCAAAAGTCAACAAGGAGGTACCTGGAGAACCCCTGGACACAGGGAAGGGGCGAGAGCAGTGTTACAGGGAACAGAAAATCCACCAGCCACCGGTGAGCTGTGATCTGGACTCCGGGGACAACCAGATCCAGATGCAGCCACAGATCAGCCCGTGCAGCAGCCAGGTGGGAGCTTGGGTTCGCACGGGGAGCTGGGGAGGTGAAGGCAGGCTGGGACCGACCAATCCTGCAGAATACTTTGGCCCAGGAACAAATGGAAAGGGAGCTGCGGACTCCGCAGGGCAGACTGGTGGCGGGTCAGAGCTGGCTGCACAAGGATCAAACACCAGAGTGGGGACATTTCCAGCTAGTCACAACTGGATGATCTTACGGGGAGGACAGCACCAGCTTTGCATCCCAGTGCTCCACTGGGTGCCATCTTGTGTGTTCAGACAAGAACATTGCCACCGATAAACTAGTTATCTGAGACAGTTGGTGTCTTCCTAACCCAGGACACTGAATGAACATAAAAACTGACTTGTAGACCTGTGGGGAATACATCTTAGAAAACTGCACTAAGGAGAAAAACACACCACACCAAACAGGATTGAAATGTCAAAATTTAAGAGACAGGGGCACAATGTTACCACCCTAAGTTAACTGAGGAAGACTTTGGGAAAAAATGGGGGACACAGAATTCAGAAAACATAAAGGTTCTGGCTAATAATGAGAAGCACATAATACAAAAATTCAAAATATTTAAAGAAGTTGTTACACAGGAAATGAATCAAATGAAAGCTGACATTTCAGAAGCTAAGAATACAGTGGAGCAAATTAAAAGTACAGTCAACAGTCTAAAAAATTCAATGAATGAAGCAGAAGAAAGAATATGGTAATTGGAAGATATTTCCTGTCACCAGGGGAAACAACAAGCTGGAAGCAGAGCTAGGCAAAGCTAAAAACAGTATTCAGGAATTAAAAGATACAATTAAAAGGCCCAACATAAGAATTATGGGAGTTCCACAAGGCGCAGAAAGAGCAACTAGGATTAAAGGTGTATTCAATGAAATAATGCACGAAAACTTCCCTAATCTAGAGAAAGAATTGGGAAACAACATCCAGGAGGGGCACAGGACTCCCAAAAGGGTTGACAAACAGCAACCTTCACCGAGACACACGAGAACCAAGCTCTCCTCAGTTGAACATAAGGAAAAAAAATCCTTAAATGTGCACGTGACAAAAATCAAGTGACCTATACAGGAACCCCAATCAAACTCACAGCTGACGTCTCAGAGGAAACGCTGCAGGCCAGGAGAGAATAGTGACACATTCCAGACTCTAAAATGGAAAAATTTTCAGCCCAGAATAGCATCCTGCAAAGCTCTCCTTTGTCTTTGAAAATGAAATAAAATTCTTCCACAATAAAGGAAAACTCCCATGAATTTGTGTCCTCCAAACCAGCCCTACAACTAGTTCTCAAAGATGTTCTAGTAAAGAGAAGGAACAGCAGCTGCCAAAGCCACAGGCATCTGTGGAGCACATCCCACTGAAAGGCCAGAACACTCAACCAAAGAACACCACATTGCTAAGATGGCCGAACCAAACTGCCACCTATCCGTAACAACGCTGAATGTAAATGGTTTAAATCCACCAATCAAACGCCATAGATCAGAGGACTGCCTCACAAAAAAACCCATCTATCTATCTGCTGCCTGCAGGAGACACATCTCACTAACAAAGATCAGAGGAAACAAAGTGAAGGATGGAAAAAGATGCAGGGATAGACATATCAAATGATATAGACATCGAAGTGAAAAACGTTAAAAGAGATGAAGGACACCCCATCGTGGTCAAAGGATCCATTCAGCAAGAGCTCACCATAATAAATATATATGCACCAAATGCCAAGGCATCTAGCTACATCAAACAAACATTAATAAAAGGAGCAATAGACTCATAGTGGGAGACATTAATATTCTTTTAACATCAATGCACAGATCAAAATAGCAGAAAGCAAAGAAACAACAGAACTCGCCCAAACTCTAGAGCAAATGGACTTAGTAACATCTATCGATCCTTCCGTCCTACAGATAGAGAATGTACTTTTTTTTCATCAGTGCATGGAACCTTCTCCAGAATTGATGTTAACAGGCCACAAAACAAACCTCAGCAAATTAAAAAATCGAAATTATACCATGCATATTCTCAGACTTTGAAGGAATGAAGTTAGACACCAAGCAGTCAAAACACCCAAGAAGACTTGCAAACACATGGAAACTGAATAATATGTTACTGAATGGGCAATGGATTAGGGAGAAAATCAAAGGGGAAATTAAAAATTGCTTGAAACAAATGAAGGCATCAACACAACATATCAAAACTTATGGGGCCCGGCGGTGTGGCCTAGCGGCTAAAGTCCTCGCCTTGAACGCGCCTGGATCCCATATGGGCACCGGTTCTAATCCTGGCAGCTCCACTTCCCATCCAGCTCCCTGCTTGTGGCCTGGGAAAGCAGTTGAGGACAGCCCAAAGCTTTGGGACCTGCACCCACATGGGAGACCTGGAAGAAGTTCCTGAATCCTGGCTCCGGATCGGCATAGCATTGGCTGTTGCGGTCACTTGGGGAGTGAATCTTCGGACAGAAGATCTTTCTCACTGTCTCTCCTACTCTCTGTATATCTGACTTTCCAATTAAAAAAAAAAAAAAAAAAAAGAAAGAAACAAACTGTGGGTACATCTACTCCATGGAATATTATTCAGCTATTAGGAAGAATGAAATTGGGCCCGGCAGCATGGCCTAGTGGCTAAAGGCCTTGCTTTGAATGCGCTGGGATCCCATATGGGCACCAGCTTGAATCCCGGCAGCTCCACTTCCCATCCAGCTCCCTGCTCGTGGCCTGGGAAAGCAGTCAAGGACAGCCCAAAGCCTTGGGACCCTGCACCTGTGTGGGAGTTTGGGGGGGGAAATCCCAGTCTATACCAAACTGTACCACATAATTCAAAAATTCAAAATAAAAATACAAAAACAACCAAAAAGAAAATACTTACTTCTTTAACAGTTGTTTTTATGAAATCTTTTCTTTCGGTTAAGTCATAAGCAGGGTAACTTTCATACACCTTGAGTGAAAAGGAGAAACATCAGGGTTTTAAATAATATTCCGTCACTGATTAAGAAAGTCGGGATACATAAAAATAGCTTCAAATTCTAACAGTGATCTGAATTACCACATTAATTACACAAAGCAGAAAACTAGAGTACACACATTCAGATTGCCAGACCTCAGGTGCGTGAGGCGGGTCCTACAGGTCCGGTCCTCCTCCTTCACCGGTGTGTCACTAAGACTCCTTCTAAAACCTACCCAAGTGCAGTCATAAACATTCTTCCAAAGGACAAGTAATCTCCCTCCAGTTTTCCTGCACCTCGCCCTGGTCCCCAACTCCCCTCGGAGGAAGCCTGCAGTCGGTTGTGTCATCCTCCAGACCATAAAGGTTAATTCACAAATACACATAACTGGTTGTTTCTTATTTTATTATTTATTTCATTATATTTTTTGACACTCTTACATAGTTGGTTAGGATACAAAGGGTGAAGGGCTCCCTTTGTACCCTAATCAACTATGTAAGATTACAAAAACAAACAAACAAAAAAATTAAAACAAAAAAACCCCAGTCAAGGGCTACAGGAAAGTGGGTAAGACCATTGTTTCCACACTAACATTTTTTTCCCCTGTATCTGGGATCAGGGGAGAAACAAAGGCAGAAGCCCCACCAAGCCCAGGCCGCTGTTGTAAGGCGCGTGGTCCTGCTCAAGCAGTTTTGATAGTTCGACAATTCTGATTTGCTGCCAGTCTCACAGTTCCAATTGCGATGAAATCTCTTCAGAATCCACTGGCTGACACAGTCTCTTCATGCTCAGGGTTCTGAGATCAGCAGTTCAGTTGGAGGGATCTCCAAAGAAACTTCGTCTGTGAGGTGATCTCAGACTTGATTCCTATGTGTGCTTGCCAGTACTGGGTCCGGCACCATCCAATGCCCCAATTAACTTATGCACATGCTGGTCTTTGCAACTGCTGGGTCAGTTCTGCTTCTAGCCCTGTCATGCACTTGAACCAATAGGTGTTGCAGTCCAGCCTGATCCTGCACACTTCATCCTCAGCCCTCATGGAAACCAGTGGGAGCTGCAGCCTACTCTGGGCAACTCCCCATAACCCCCACCAGGCCTGTTCCCTACCCTGGTTCCCATGCTTGCCAGTATGTATCGCAGATTTGTTCAGTCTGTTCCACATCCCATTGAGCTCTCATACATGTCAATGGGCATTGAAGCTTAGTTCAATCCAACCTGCCCTACTATCCAGCCCACACACATGCTGTTGGGTGCCTTTCTGTCTAGCCACCCCTGCCCCTATTCTGGTTTTCATGCTCTCCAATGGGAGTGGTAACCCAAGAAGGAGGAGCCCTCTATTTCCCTTCTAGGCCACTCCCACTCCCAGGTTATGCACTTTCCAGGTGGTTCTGCGGTTTAACTTGACAGATTTAGACTCTAGTGGCAGCCTCTGCCATCTGATGCGCCAGTTGGAACAGCTGACCTCAGTTGAGGAGTCTTCCAAGTTCGTCCCAGCATCTCCCCTACTCCTACCCTCTCAAATCAATTACTGAAAAAACCTGTCTCAGTCCCACCATTGGGATGGGAAAATGGCCTATGTCCATACTTGTGAAATCACTTGGTGTGATCCTGTGAAGGCAACGGCAGACAGTACCAGAAATCCAGTAAATCTATAGCAGGAAAAAAATTATTGGCCATCTTTAATGGCCAATAAATAATGCTGTAAATAACCAAATGGCTCCTGGCAGAAAAAGATTCCTCAGCCCTGCAATGGGCCATAAGCACCCTTTACACTGAGTAATAGTTTCTCTGGCTCTTTGAGGCAGAAACTCAATGAATGATGAATAAACAAATAACCATTACCCTAAAAAATATAAGCTATTTTTACTTTGCACATTTTAAATCTCATTTTACTATGAGAAAATACATATTCTAAACTGGAGTGATACTCAAGTTTAACACTTTCCTGAGAAGTGCTACAAGGATTTCAGAGAAGCAGTTTAAGAATCCAGTCTCATGTGCCATACCATCAAGAGCAAGGTTACAGTCGAAAGATGCATCAATGAAAGTTTCTAGACCAACTGTGGAATGCAGCAGTTTACTGTACTCTGTTCATTGTAATGCTACTAATAAACAACTCGGGACAGCATGTAAGACTGCCTGGCATACGCACACGACTACTGATTCAGTAAATGAATGCTCAAAAGGTTCTAGCTTAATTACCTCTTTACAGATTTGCTTCATTGTCACTTCCTCCAAGTTAGCATTGGCCAACAATTTCTTTATTGTTTCCTTTAGCTCTTCATCTGTAGGTGGTTTCTTCAATTTTCTAATTAGAGGTTCATCATCCGAACTATCCTCAGATTCGCTTTCTGTAAGATGTTTTATTAGATGTAAATAAAGCTTTCATATATAGTAAGTCAACATTAAAGTTGCAAAGAATTTTTCCTAAGTTTTCAGCAGATTCTCAGCTCAAAAAAAAAAAACAATCACTACTCTATAGGGTGTATACAGGTAAGCATGCACTGAAAACTGACACTTTTCCCATGATACTCTTTTGCCGGTTACTTTTCTTCCTACGCACATTACACACAGCTTTTAAAACAGCTTATGTCAGCACCACCATGGTGCTCAGCAACTAATCCTCTACCTGCAAGCACCAGAGTCCCTTACGAGTGCTGGCTCATGTCCTGGCTACTCCACTTCCCATCCAGCTCCCTGCTGAACAGCCTGGAAAAAGCAGCAGATAATGGCTCAAGTTTTTGGGCCCCTGCACTCCCAAGGGAGACCCAAAGGAAGCTCCTGGCTCTGGATCAACTCAGTTCAGGCCACTGTGGCCATCTGGGGAGTGAAACAGCAGATGGAAGACATCTTTATGTATACAAGTCTACCTTTCAAAAAAAGATAGAATAAATCTTTTTTTTTTTAATCGCTGACCCAGCGTGGTAGCATAGCAGCTAAAGTTCTCGCCTTGAATGCACCAGTATCCCATATAGGCACTGATTCTAATCCCAGCAGCCCCACTTCCCATCAGGCTCCCTGCTTGTAGCCTGGGAAAGCAGCTGAAGAGGGTCCAAAGCTTTGAGACCCTGCACCCACGTGGGAGACCCGGAAGAAGCTCCTGAGTCCTGGCTTCAGACTGGCTCAGCTCTAGCCATTGCGGCAGCTTGGGGAGTGAACCATCGGACAGAAGATCTTCCTCTCTGACTCTCCTCTCTGAATATCTGACTTTCCAATAAAAATAAAGTAAATCTCTACCCAAAAACAGCTGATGTAATTTTTCACATACCTTTCTTGGAACTGTTCTGGTTCTTCTTGGTGGTGCTGCTATCTGCTTTCTTCACATTAGCACTTTTTACAGATTTTTTACTTTTAGCAGCAGCTTTCTGCTTAGGTTTTTCTTTTTTAGATGTCTTTTTTGGTGGCTGTTAGGAATACAAAGAACACACATTGATGCGATTCATTGCTTTTCTTTTAGTTCCCTTATGCCCCTTAATTACAGAAAATTCAACATACAGTAGTTAGCACTAAAAATTATCTATTTACTAGATGACTCAACCAATTCTACCCTGATACAAATTTAAGCTGAAGGAAAAAAAAAATCAGGAAAGTATATAAACCTTACATTTATTCTGCAATATGGATAGGAAATTTTATATGTAGTCGCCTACAGAATATTGAAAGATAGCCAAAAATACAGATGCTATCAACCTCTTACTCTCTGCCGCTCCCAACTAAAGGACAAAATCCCTTGCACATCTTTCCACTGATGTGTCCCCAAATCCTAAAATGGTACTCAATCCCCAGCGGTTGTATAAGGCTTATTTATGAATGTGAAGAAATTAATGCTCAGTGAGATTCTGTTGTCCAGTTACATTGCAGAATACAGATCTCACTTCACTGTACTCGTAAACAGGAATTCACTGATGAGTAAACAAAAGCCACACACACACATCTGGGCAGATCAAAATGAGACAACTCCAGTATCCTTTTTCCAAACCAGACCAGGCTCTAAAACCAGGAAGCAGTAAGGTTCTCAAAGGCAAAAATCTAAACAGCATGGTAACTTATCAACTTTATACACCAAAACTATTGCTAGACAACATGTTTTAATATTCTATACACTTGATTACAAACATTACAATCAACTTTTTAGAATTAATTGTTTCAGTGTGTGGCAGGCAGAGCAGCCGACTCCCTGCAAGCCTGCCACTCCCTAAGGGACGCGGTAAAGCAAGCAGCAAGGAACTCAACCCAGGTCTGCCGTGTGGGGAAAGCCAAGCAGCCCAGGCTTAGCTACTGTCAAGGTCCTTTTTGCCACTTATTTCCTAATCCTAAGAGATGTTCTAGGCAGTGGGGACATTTTAATTGAGTTTCATGTTCAAATGTCTACCTAGCACAAATGAACTTAAATAGATTCTGAAAACAAACACTAAAAATTTCTATGTTTTGGGCCCAGCACGGTGGCGCAAATGGTTAAGGTCCTCGCCTTGTACACCCGGGATCCCATATGAGCGCCGGTTCTAATCCCGGCAGCCCCGCTTCCCTTCCAGCTCCCTGCCTGTGGCCTGGGAAAGCAGTCGAGGACGGCCCAAAGCTTTGGGACTCTGCACCCGCGTGGGAGACCCGGAAGAGGCTCCTGGCTTCAGATCGGCATAGTATCGACCGTTGCGGCCGCCTGGGGAGTGAATCATCGGACGGAAGATCCTCCTCTCTGTATATCCGCCTTTCCAATAAATAAATAATAAAATAAATCTTTAAAAAAAATTTCTATGTTTTGTTGATGTGTTTAATATAAGTAATAATCACTATTTGATACCAATCATTAGTTCAAGATTAATATCTGGGCTTAAATGTAAAAGAAACTTAGAACTGAAAGGGTTTTGAGGGTGAGCAACAGAAACAATAATAGGTACCATCATTTTATCTCCATTCATATTGAGTAATTAAAACATTGATAGTCTTTTAAAGCCGATGTTATAAGGCAAACACAACAGGCACCTAGTCCTAGAGCCTGCAAACTGCGAGCCGCAAAAGCTTGACAAGCAAAAACATCAAATACAGATCAGTTTCATATGTAGGCAAGCATGCAAGCAATTTAAAGCTACACATTTTTCCATATGTAACATCTTCTAAAAGGGGTATGTTCAATTTTTCTCCAGTGAGACAAGCACACTACGCAAGCACCACGGTGGGCACGTGACAAAGCGGCGGGAGCCTGAGCAGCTTCCTGGTTCTCAGCCCCACTGCCAGGGGGCTGGCATCTGCCAGTACTTACCTACGGTGATATGGTAGAATAAATGCATCGATGCCGGTTTTTTGTTTTTTAAGCAAATGTTACAGGGCACAGAGTCCAGTTTTTTGATTCACTTCCCAAATCCCCCTAAGAGCCAGGGCCAAGCCAGGCTGAGGAGCAGAGCCAGAATTAATGGCGACTAGCACAATTTTGAGTGCTTTGTTAAACTGGGAAGTTATTAATTGTGTGACTTCCTTTAAAACTTGATGCTCCTAAATGTCTCTGAAAACCATGGCAGGAGGTGGGCGTTTGGTTTAGCCGTGAACATGGATGCCCACCACCCATATCAGGGTGCCTGCGTTGGACTCCTACCTCTGATATTAACTGCTTGTCCTTGTGTGCCTGGAAGGCAGCGAGTGATGGCTCAAGGATGTCATCAAGCCCCTGCCACCTGTGGAGCTACTGAAGGCATCACAACAGCGTTGTGATCACAGTTCTCCAGATATCTGCCCCATCGAGTGCAAGAAAATAACAACAGTGCCAACATGGTGGCACAGCCAGTGAGACCTCCACCTGCAGTGCTCGCATTCCACATGGAGACTGGTTTGAGTCCAGCTGCTATGCTCCTGATCCAGCTCCTGTTTAATGGGCTGGGAAGCAGTGGAGGACTGCCCAAGTCCTTGGGTCCCTGCATCCATGTGGGAGGCCAGGAAGAGACCCCGGTTCCCAAGCAGCCCGACTTTGACCGCTGTGACTCTCTGAGGAGTGAATCAGCAGGTAGAAGATTTGTCTCTCCTCTCTATAACTCTGTCCTTCCAATAATCTTCAAATGAATAAAAGCAGGATAAATATGAAGAACAGAAAACTATAAAGCCTTCAGACTCAGCCCCCTTCCCTGGATGCTGATGTGATTTCACAGCAGAAATGGCCCCCTCTCCATCCCCACTGGCGGGGGACATGGTGGACATGGCGGAAAAACAAAAGCTCATTCATCTCACCCACCTTGCCCCTCCCTGGCCCAAATGGAGGCTCACACGGATAAGCAGCACTCTGTGTAACAGTTACCTACCCATGATGCATCACACTGATTTTATCACATTATCATGAGTGGGACTCACTAGTATCTAAAGCCCTGAAATGGCAAGTTACACTATTCACTCTGAACTCACTTATCTTTCATAAGTCGCTGTAAACCGATGACAAACTTCAGGTAAGAATTCAGTAAACTATGACTTTCAGCCTGAAACGTGCTGACTTGGATAAGCGGAAGCTACCTGGCAGGCTCACTTTAGGCAGCGGTAAGGTAACTGATGCCCTCACTGCTTGCACACTGGTCCTGCGTGTGCTAGCAATCACCTCGGACTTCCTGAAAATAATGTTAGCAGGTAGAGGTGGATAGTAACTTTCAAAGAACATGGTTCAGTACTGGGGTACAATGGACTTTTAAAAAGATTTATTTTTTATTAGAAAGGCAGAACTACAGAGAAGGAGAGACAGAAACGGCTTCATCCACTGGTTCACACCCCAGATAGCTGCAACAGGCAGAGCTGAGCCGATCTGAAGCCAGCGGCCAGTGTGAAGGACCCCAGGGCCTTGGCCACTCTGCTGCCCTCCAGGGCCGTAAGCAGGGAGCCGAACGCGAAGTGGAGCAGTCGGGACACAAACTGGCACACAAAGTGGGTGTCTGCACTGTCAGACGGAGGATTACTTAGCTAAGCCATCACACTGGAAAAATTTTAACAAGTAAAGGCAAACACCTGATAAGTATTTGGAGGTAATAGAAAAGACCCAGAAAACTGAGAAAGTAACTTAAATCAGGTCTATTTTAATGTCACACCAACTTCTAACACTTCACTACTTTAATCCCCCTCTCTACTTAGGAAAACCTCATGACTTGACAGCTCAACAGTCACCTCATCTGAATCTTGTACAGTATCATTAATTTGATTGCACTTCCTGTGGTGAGCACTGTGGTGCTGTGGGTTAAGTCACCGCCTGCAGTCCCAGCTGCTCCGCTTCCCATCCAGCTCCCTGCCGCACACCTGGGAAAGCAGAGGATGACTCAACTCTGGCTCCCTGCCACCCAAGTGGGAGACCCAGGGAAGCGTCAGGCTCCTGGCGTAAGCCTGGCCCACGCTAGGCTGGTGCAGTGCTTTGTGGGTAACTCTTCTTTCTTCCTGGTTCCCACACTGACCGCACCACCACCTTGACCCTTCTCCGCAGCAACGGAGGCGTGCCACCATGACCACTTTACCGACTTCCCCAGCACCTGCATAACCCTGACACTGGAATACTATTCCATCATGCTTATGTGAACTCTAGCCACATCTGTGCTCACTTTGAGGCTAAAATGAGTCAGTGCATGTAAAACAGCAAAGAAAAAAGGCAAGTCGACTAAACAGCAGTTATTTACAAGTCTTTTTTCCCATGACACCTCAAGCCTGAGGGCTATCTGACCACTGCTATGACAAGGCGCAGATCACCTGTACCCCACCCCAGCAACTCGGAGTGCCTGGCTTGTAGTAGCAACTTTAGAATGTTATACTCATCTTTTATGGTTTTTTTTTTTTTTTTTTTTTTTTGTAAAATCTAGTTAACCTACTCTCTGAACCCAGGAGGTCGTTAAAAAGGAAAAAAGATCACTGCATCAAATAGCATTGTACACACATGATCTCCTGACCTAAGAAACAGGACTGATGCCTGGGACACCTGCTCCGGAGTGCAGAGAGCGTGTCCTGCCTCTAGTCTTCAGTCCATCCTCCTGCTGAAGTGCACCCTGGCAGCAGGGTTGAAGGCTCCAATGGCGGGCTCCTTAATCACCCTCGGGTGAGGACTGAACTGCAATTGTTGGCTCCTGGCTGTGGCCTGGCTCAAACTATTGTAGGCAGTTAGGGAAACAAACCAACAAATGAAAAATCTTTCTATTTTTTTCAAACAAAATTTAAAAATAGAAAAAAAAAGGGGGGGGGAGGGGAAGAGGAGACCTCAAAGACAAAAACTGAACAGCTGATCTCATTGCAAATGAGGGAACAGTTCAGTGAGGCAGCATCTTACAGGTAGCAAGAATCAAAACCGTTGGTGAGGTCCAGTGTGTCCACAGTGGAACTAGCCAACAACAAGCCAGGTGATGCTGTAAGCGTACTGTAAATGTGAATGTTTTTCCACTACATATAAATGGCACTAATAATAACAGATGAAAATGGTGGCAGAAAACAGAACAATAAAACTAAACTGGCTTCAGGGCTAACTAGGGCCTTCTCCAAAATGCACCAGCTCTGATTCAGTTTTTAGATTTTATATAAACAGGTAAACAAAAAAGCTAGGATGGATCTTAGTTTAATATAACAATAGTTCCTCCAAAATTCCTTTGCTGCCAGCTTCTATGGTTTTTTTCCTTCAGGACTCAAACTTCTACTTTTTCTGAAGAATCTGTTCCTGGATCCACAGAAAGAGGCAAATATTCCCTCTACTGAGCCCCTACCTGAATTTATCTGTTAAAATCTCTTATTTTTGCTCTAGCCTATACATTTTCCCTTTCTTTTCTTTGAGCTTTCTTCACACCAACCATGCTAAATTGCTTAAAAGTCATGACATTTATTTTCAGTCACCAAACAGAGTAAAGAATCAGAAGACCTCCATTTAGCTACTTTGTAATTATATGGAAAATTGAGATGCTAGAGAACCTGAAGATTAAATAACCTTTAACGATTTCTTCCAGGCCCGGTGCGAAGGCTCAGTGGCTAAATCCTCACTTTGCATGTGCTGGGATCTCATATGGACACTAATTCATGTCCCAACAGTTCCACTTCCCATCCAGCTCCCTGCTGTGGCCTGAGAAAGGAGTGGGTGATGAAAGTCCTGGGATCCTGCACCCTTGGGAGACCAGAAGCTCCTGGCTTCAGATCGGCTCAGCTCTGGCTGGTCAGCCATTTGGGGAGTGAACCAGCAGATAGAATATCTTTCTACAACTCTGCCTTTCCAGTAAAAAGAAATCTTAAAAAGAATTCCAGCTGAGGTTCTATTTCATAACAACCACTCAGTTGCTTAAGATTTTTCTGTTGGTAGCAGTCAGTCAAATTTCTTGATTTTCCCATTTCATCACCTTCTGGTTCAACCTGCCTATCCATGTTGTACATTTAACAGGGAAAAACAAGACTACTACTTTAAGTCCTCCAAATCATTAAGAGTGGAGCAGCCACACGTAACATGTTTTCTGAGGCAGGTTAAGATGAGCAATCCACGTTTCAGTCCTGGAGAGTAAGGATTTTCAGCTTTACTAGTTACAACATTTTTGGTTGCACAAACTTCATCCTGATACTTTTCGTTTTTACAAAATTATTTAAAAATAGAAAACCATAAACAGCTTCTAGGCAATACAAAACAAGCCTTACATTGGATTTAACATAACAGACCAGTTTTCCATTTCTTAAACTAGATTATAAATGCTTGGAGATATAAAAACAAAGCAGGGAGGGCCCGGCAGCATGGCCTAGCGGCTAAAATCTTCGCCTTGAACACGCCAGGATCTCATATGGGTGCCAGTTCTAATCCCGGCAGCCCCGCTTCCCACCCAGCTCCCTGCTTGTGGCCTGGGAAAGCAGTCGAGAATGGCCCAAAGCCTTGGGGCCCTGCACCTGTGAGGGAGACCTGGAAGAAATCCCTGGCTTCAGATTGGCTCAGCACCGGCTGTTGTGGCCGCTTGGGGAGTGAATCATCAGACAGAATCTTCCTCTCTGTCTCTTCTCCTCCTCTCTGAATATCTGACTTTGTGATAAAAATAAATCTTTAAAAATAAATAAATAGTGAAACAGCATTTTGAAAAGAGAAAAAGAATCATCTGTATGACTCAGAGTGACTTCTCCGCCTCCAGAGGCTGCACTCATCACAGCTGCTTGCACAGGTGCGCAGGTGCTCCACTTCCGGGCACATCGCGTTTGTCAAAAACCGCACACCTCCTCTGCTCCCTGCCGCACATGCTCAGCCTTCCTCTCCATATCCGAGTCCAGGTCAATCAGTACTTCTTCCATGCCTGCCCAGGCCCTTCTCTCAGCACATACAGAAACTCTGCCTTTGAGATCCTATAGCTGCTAAGTATCTAGAAGCCCTGGAGTAGGAAATTGTCTCCTACATGCTCAGCAACGCTCACAACACACCCAACTGATTGGCTGCAGCAACCATAAAGTGATTACATGAACTCCACTACTGGCCCACGTTAAGTCTCCTTTTAAAAATACAGTATGACAATATAAAAAAAAAGACTTGCCTAAGATCATACAGTGATATTCCAAGGTAAAAGTGGGATCTGAGCCCAATTTCCAAAGCCCACACCGGCAGTGCTATTATCTCCTTAAAAACTAACATCTAGATGGACATCTCTTTATGTTATTAAAGTTTATGAAATAGGTCTAGCAAACAGTGAATGACACAGATGATCAAAAATTTGTTGACAAGAAATACTATTACTTTAAAATTATCACTGTTACTTGGAAGGTACTACAAAAAGCTCATAGGAAAACAGGACAAGTTCTAGCTCAAGCAACTGAAACGCAGGCTGACACTCCGTGGACCTTCTGAAGACCCCAAGCATACACACAGGCAAAGACTTTTCCCCCAGGTGTCTAACTCATCAAAACCTTAACGCTCACATTAGCAAATTCAAAAGATACTATTCCTTCTTTAATCAGGACTAGATTTAGGTATTTATCTGCTATATCTGCAACCATTCTTCTTAAATTATGAAGTATTTCACATTTTGCTTCACAGTAAAATCTGTCACTGGAAACAAGCCTGCGAGGCAGGCGCGCTGACACAGCAGCCATTACTGCAGACGCTCGCATCCAGTATTGCAGTGGGTGCGTGTGAGTGCCAGCTCTGTTTCAAATCCAGCTTCCAGATGCTACTCTGATGGCCCATGTCACTGGGTCTCTGCCACCCCACCGGGAGACCTGGACTGAGTTATGAGTTATGAGTCTAGCCCAGCCCTGGCTGCTGTGGGCAGACAAATGGGAACTAAACTAGCAGGCAGAAGACCTTTGCTAACTTACCCGGGAAAGCAACGGAAAGTGGTGCACGTACGCGGGCCTCTGTAACCCACATGGCAAACCTGGCAGGAGTTCCAGGCGCTTGGCTTTGGATGACCAAGACTAAACATCACAGATAATTAGAGTGAACCAGATAAAGGTGCTTTCTGGCTGCACTGATTACATAGCAAGAATATTTGTTCTCCATAAAAATGATTTTTAAAAAGAACATATTTTAAAATGTACCTCCTCTTCACTTTCTTTATCTTCATCCTCTGAAGACTCTTCCTTGTTTTTCTTTTCATCTTCATCACTACTCGACTCATCTGACAGAATCTCGGGGTATTTGGTTCGTTTCGCTTTCCTTGCCGATCCAGAACTGTTGCGTTCATTTTTACTGCCTTTGCTAGGAGTCTTCTTAGACTTTGGTAGTGGCTGTGCACAAAAGGTTGAAATGATAAACCAATGAGATATTATACTCAGCAGTTTTCTAACTAGTTTTCACTTCAAATGCTCTCAAATTCCATTTCCAAGATTAGTAGCTTTACAGAGAAATTTACCTTTTAACTTGTCAGGTTCATCTAAAACTGAGACCAATACTCTAACCTGTGTTCTAAATACCTAGTTAAGTTTCTTTAGAAAACAAAGAATATCAGGTGACCCACTTCAGACCCAGCTCCCTGCTTACGGCCTGGGACAGCAACCAAGCAATCAAGTCCTGGACTCCTGCATCTACACGGCAGACCAGAAGTTCCTAACTCCCACCTTTGGACCCGCTCAGCTCTGGCCACGGTGACCATGTGAGGAGTGAACCAGCGTATTGAGTATCTCTCTCTACCTTCCCTTCACCCCGTTAATTCTGTGAAATTAAAAACAAACAAACAGAAAACTATTGTCAGAAGAGCACCCTGCTTAAAGGGCCAACCAAAGAAATGGAGGGAAGCCTGCCACGCCACCATCCTATGTAAGCTCCAGCTCACAGGGCCCCTGCCCCCAGCTGGGAGGCCCAGAAGTACCTCCTGACTCCTGGCTTTGGACTGACCCAGCTCAGCACTGTGGCCGTTTGCAGAGTGAGCCAACAGATCTTGCTCTGTCTCTCACTCACTGTAAGTCTTCAAAAATAAGTAAACTTTTGAAAAATTATTTTTATTTAAAATGGGAGGGACAACAGATCTTCCCTCTCCTATTCACTCCCCAAATGGCCACAGTGACCAGAGCTGGGCTCATTGGAAGTCAGGAGCCTCTTCTGGGTCCCGCGTTTGGCTGCAGGGACTTAAGCCTTGCTTGGCTGCTTTCCTAGGCCACTTGCAGGGAGCTGGATCAGACTGGAGCAGCTAGGATACAAACTGGGACATGTATGGGGATGAGAGTGCTGCAGACAGAGGCCTAGCCTACTATATCACAACCCCAGTCCCCTCAAGCCCAGAAAAGGGCCCACCATACAAGGACAATCATTCGGTCATATTAACCAACAAATGTAATTCCTGAATGCTTTCTTAAGAGAATCATTTGCTAAACTCTGAAACTGAACGCCATGAGCCCTTATATTAAAGGATCTAAAAATACATATGAAAAAGAAACTTGTATTATTTACTTCCAAGATTAACGTTTGCATTTTAACTTTGCTCATGCTAATTTCTGCAATATTCTGAAATATTAAAGTAAAATGCTATAATATAATCTGAAGGTACAGGTTCAGCATCCCTAATCCAAAACCCTGAAATCTGAAATCCCTCAAGACTTGGAGGACCCACACAACCCTTGGGTCTCCAGGTCACAAGGAGGCGCACTGCGTAAGTCGCCTGTGGGGCGCGGCACTGCACGGCGGCCCAGCTGCCTGGCCAGCCTTCTGCTCAAGTGCTTGTGCTTCTGCTACCCACTTTGGAGACCTAGATGGAGCTTGGAGTTCTGGGAGACTGGCCCTGCCCTAGCAGCTGGTTAGTCATTTGAAGATTAAATGATGATGGAGAGCTCTTCCTCATTCTGTCACTGCTTTTGGAATAAACGAATAAGTCTTTAAAAAAAAAAAAAAAAAGTCTTTGAGTTACGTGTCTAAAATATGTACGCTGGCCCTGTGCTGCGGCACAGGGGGTTAAGCTGCCAGCTGCAACAGCAGCACGCCGTATGAGGTGCTGGTTGGTGTCCTGCTTGCTCCACATCCAATCCAGCTCCTTACTCATGCTCCCAGGTAGGCAGCATTAGGTGGCTCATATGCTCCCATGTGCAAGACCTCCTTGCTCCTGGCTTCAGCCTGGCCCAGGCTCACCTGTTGCAGCCATTTAAATGAATTAATAGAAAGAATTGTATTTCAACTTTAAAGACGAACAGAAAGATACATATGAAAACAACTACTAGGGACCCAGTACAGTAGCCTAGTGGCGAAAGTCCTAGCCTCACACGCGCCACAATCCCATATGTGTGCAGGTTTTAACATGGGCAGCCCCGCTTCCCATCCAGCTCCCTGCTTGTGGCCCGGGAAAGCAGTCGAGGACGGCCCAAAGCCTCGGGACCCTGCACCCATGTGGGAGACCCGGAAGAGGCTCCTGACTTCAGACTGGCTCAGCTTCAGCCATTGCGGACACTTGGGGAGTGAATAATCATCAGATGAAAGATCTTCCTCTGTCTCTCCTCCTCTCTGTATATCTGACTTTACTAAAAAATGAAAGAAAGAGGCCAACTACTAGCAACCCCAGCTTGTCAAAGCAACCTACTCCTCCATATCCGAAAACATCCATTGTGGTCGCTCCAGAAGTTTGCAGTTAGTGTACCAACCAGAGCTTTCCCAGGGGCAGGCGTCTGGGCCGCCGGGCAGAAACGCTGGCTCTTCGTTAGCTCTAGCTTCCTGCTGCTGTGCAACCCGCAAGGCTGCAGGTTCGTGTCCTTGGGTCCCTGCCACCCACACGGGACACTCAGATGCAATTCCAGCTCCTGGCTTTGGCCTGCTCCACCTCTGGCCACTGCAGATGTCTGGAAAACTAAACAGCACTTGGAGTGCAGATGTCTGCCTGTCCCCCAGTACCTTCACCTTTCTCAGGAAAACCTGTATTTTGACCGAGTGTCATGGGAACGGGTCGGCTGCTGGATAAATCGATAAGGCCATTTCAAAAAATTAATGGAAAATGGAATTAAAGGTAAATCTGTTTTGGCACAAAAAATGTGTGAAATCTGTGCATATAAACAACTTTTGTAAGATTCAAAGGAAATAATAAATATTAAGACAAATTATGTGTAGACCTCAATGTTTTGCAATACATGCATTCTAACTTCCATCTTTTATGAATTTTTAAAAATCCCTTCAATACACAAAATTGAAATAATGCCAATGACTTTGAAAACAAAAAAAGCAACACATTTTAGAGATTCCCTGTACTGATTCTGAAACAGGTCAATCTGCTCACTCGAATCTGACTTCACTGTATCCTCAGTTTTTGGAAACAAAGAAGTAGTACAAGAGGATAGCAAAACGACGGTCAAGTGCATTCATTTAGAACTGTAAAATTATTAGAGAAAACATAACAATGAGTTTATACCATTTCCTTAAAACTGTGATCCATCAGATTAACAGCCAGTCACCAGAGTCCAACACAAAACACAGAATGCAAGGACTTGATGGCCACAGGTAACAGCGATTCTCAAAATGGGATTCAAGGGCCGAAGGGTTTCCTGAAGCCTTTTCAGGCGTTTACAAGGTCAAAATTTAGAATGAAGACATCTTAAACAGTAGGTAACATGTCCCCCATTGTGTCTTTCTGCCACTCTTAGTAAAATATGTTAACACCTGTAAGATGTAAATTTAGGGAAGCCAACAGTTTCCGAAGGAAATACATGTACCTAAGTAAAAGACCCATGTCGGGGCCAGCGCCATGGCACAGCAGGCAAGGCCTCCTACTATGGTACCAGCATTCCATGTGGATACTGGCTTCAAGACCTGGCGGCTCCACTTTCCATCCAGCTCCCTGCTTAAGGCCTGGGAAAGCAGCAGAGGATGGCTCGGGTCCATGCACCACGTGGGAGATCTAGCGGAAGCTCCTGGCTCCCGGTTTCAGACCAGCCCAACTCCAACCATGGCAGAAACGTGGGCAGGGATCTCTCCATCTCTGTAACTCTTAATAAAAACAAATAAACCTTCAAAAGACCCATGTTTACTAACACACTCTCACATCTACGCATTCATTGTTACATACATCAAGAGCAAACCCACAATCATCTATACAAGCTTTATGTACTTTCTAACTACATACTGTATGAAGCTGGCTTTTCTTCAGCGCTTTAAGCAAAGCAGTACATTGGTAACACAATGAATGTAGAAGTAAATGAAAATCAAGATGTCTTCCCTTAAGCCAAAAAACATGAAAGTGCCAAGTGTCACTAACTCTTTTTGAAGTACTAATTTTCATATTGCTTTTATTGGCCTTTTAAAATAAACATTTGTCTTATTTCCAAATGCATTAAATGACCCTAATTGCTTCTTAAAAGAATGGTAAAAGGGTCCTGAATCAGTGAGAAAAGATGAATGCAAGATATACAAAAAAATTCCACAAATATTTTGAAGACATCTATGTAAACATCGCATAACTCAAGCAATGTAATAATTGCTTCGAAGGCAATCATAAGCTTGCTCCAAGACATCCTTGAAATGTACACGTATAGCCAATCTCTTCTTTCACGTGAAGTTTAAACCGCCAATGTCATTAGAGCCCTTGAGCCGGCTGGTGCCCTCGCCCTCCTTTCCTGGCCTGATCCAGCCACTGTCAACCCAGACCAAGGGCAGGCAAAAACGAAGTTTCCGAGCTACTTTGTGCGCTCTGCCCTTGTGGCACCTCTCCATGCTTCCTCACCTATCAAGATGAGGACGGATCTGAAAGGATGCTGACAGGCAGAAAACCTGCATGTGCCTCCTTAGCAGCCCTTTCTAGCGAGCAACGTCACTTGTTGAAAAGGGAAAAATCAGAAGCTCATTTTACTTTTCTATCTTTTGGGGCTCTGCAGAAAATCCTGGATAGCTAACCCAGCGAACGGGTAAGAATGAGTTTTTGAAAAGTCATTTTTCCCAAAATTTAGTTGTCTAAGATACAGAAAATTTCCAGTTCTAATAGAGATCCATCTTGTCTTCCTGAATTAGAGACCAAACTCTTCCCGCTCAGCCGAAGACTCCATCTTTCACCCAATCTAATCTGTTCTCCCAGTGTATTCCAGGTGACATAACTAAACACTTTGCATTTTCTATCCAAGTGGGCAGGAGTCACCTTAAAGTCTCATAGCCTTTCTATCCAATGAGGAAACATACCTCAACATCTTTTGTAGTATTTGCCTCCAAACTACTAAACTGTCAATGGAAGGCCTATTCTTTGAAGATAGGTCACAGTACTGAATGTCAGCTGAAATGCCTGCTAACCAATGAAATGACTGCTTCACTTTGTTATTAACAAAAGTCGACAGGCCCTTACTTTGCCAGAAGGCTTTGGATGCATTAAGAAGTTTAAGATCCTCTTCACTAGCTCACTGTTCACACCCGATCTCTCCAAATCAAGCACTTCGCAGATGCTCTTCAACATGGCATTTCTAAACCTGAAACAGAGAAACCAGCGATTATTACCCAGGAGATGACATTACTCACAGTAAAAATAGCCAATCAAATCCGCCCAGTTATATATGATTTAAAACCAGCCAATGCTTCTCTGAAAAGTTCACTTAATAATTGTATCAGTGTGCACAAATATGCTCATTAGAAAAAAAATATACATATCTATCTTAAATATACATATACATATTTAAATTTTCTATGCGGCCCAGTGTAGTAACCTAGCGGCTAAGGTCCTTGCCTTGTATGCACCAGCTCCCTGCTTGTGGCCTGGGAAGGCAGTGGAGGTTGGCACAACACTTTGGGATCCTGCACCTGCGTGGGAGACCCGGGGGAGGCTCCGGGCTCCAGTTGGCACAGACCCAGCCGTTGGGCCACTAGCGGAGTAAATCCACAAACAGAAGATCTTCCTCTCTGTCTCTCCTCCCCCCCGTATATCTGACTTTCCAATAAAAAGAAAATAAATCTTTGGGTCTTCCTAGGCCACAAACAGGGAGCTGGACAGGAAGTTGAGCAGCTGGGACATGAACCAGTACCCACATTCGGTCCTGGAGCTTGCAAGGCGTCGATTTAGCCAACTGAGCCACTGCACCAAGCCCAGGAATAATATTAACATAGGCAGCCATTCAAGGAAGTTTTAATTCAAGAAAGTTTTGTTCCAAACTTGTTTGCTGAAGCTTGTCAGTCAGGATACACATATCCTCTCAAAAGCTTTTTAGTTTACTGGCACTTATTTAGAAATGTTAAGATGCGAGGCAGGTACTGGGGCATGGCAGGTACAGTGTCTGAGGCACTGTCATGCCCTGAGGCCCAGTGGCTTCACTTCTGATCCAGGTCCCTGCTAATGTGGCTGGGAAAGAAACAGAAGACAGCCCGAGTACTTGGGCTCCTGTGCCCGTGTGGGAGATTCAGAGGAAAGTCCGGACTCCTGGTTTTGACTGCCCAGCCCTGGCTGCTATAGCCATTTGGGGGAATGGTGTGTATAATTCTGATTTTCAAATCAAATATAGACAAAAGAAATATTAGAATGACATTAAAAATCCAAAGGAAATTTTTAATTATTAAGCTGTAAAAGTGGTATACACAATTTTAAATTCACTAAAAATTGAAACTTTCTAATACCATAAATTCATGTCCTTGGTAATCCTTACAGATGGTGACTTCTCCCCTCAAAGTTCTGTTATTGTTTCAGAAAGGAGCTAGGTCATTACCCGTATTATCTGAACACTGACACAAGGCATTCAATCAACAAACACAGCTGTAAGACTATATATTTTGCTTGTACCATGATGAAGGACATTGCTTATATCAAAATGTTTAAAGGGGGAAGAGTGACTGATGGGATAGGAATGGGAAACACGTTGCTTTATCCCTTCAAGCCTTCAACAATCATGTTAGTTTTTATTGGCAAGTAATGAGCCTATCAAATGAATTGCTAGTAAGACAATTCAATTCAAATCTTCTCACACAGGGGCAGGCATTGTGGGATGGTGGATAAACACACCAAGCGACACATCCCTTATCAGTGCCCATCTGAGTGTGGACTGCTCTGCTTCCGGTACAGCTTCCTGCCGACGTACCCCGAGAGCCGACGAGAGCTCGAACACCTGAGTTCCTGCCGCCGATGTGGGAGACCAGGCTGGAGCTCCAGGCTCCTGGCTTCAGCCTGACCCAACCCTGGGCCCTGTAAGCAATGAAGGAGCAGACCCGCCGAGAGAAGCTTTGATCTCTTCCACCCCCACCTTTCAAGTTAATGAAAATATTTACATTTAGAACCACCTTATCATTTATAGTAAAAATCCACAATCTATGGAAAGTCAATCATTTTTTAGACAGTAAAAATCTTAAAGCACACTGATGAAAGCATGACAGTCATAAAAATAACTTACTTTTTCAACATCTCTTCCTTCTTTTTGTACTGGGTACTTCCTTTCTCAAACGGAAAGCCACTGAACTGACCCACATTCTTCTTTAATGAGGACACCTGGAAAAGATTATCCAGAATGTACACCGGATACTAAGCCAGCTAAGCCAACATTTTCCTCATACCTGTCTTCATGCTTTAACACTGGTTAACTCAATATTTCTTGTTTAAAAAAACACGTTCTAATAATATAAAAATCCTATCATTTTAAATTCTTAGAAAGTAACTGTTTGTATGGGGATGCATTTCCACCAGGGAATTTTCACAACTAAAAGTGTTGTGACCTGAAGAGACAGTTCGGGCTGGGCAGCATCTGGTACACCCAGGAACGCGCTGCTTAGGACACACACATCCCGGCACACGCAAGGTGAGAACCTTAGCCGCGAGGCTACCATGCCAGATCCCTTGTCGGCAGCTTTCAAATCAATAAAAACATAATTTTTTAAGACACTTTCATATTAAGTTCCAATATTTCCTATTCCAAAGTAAAAAAAAAAAATTTATTTCTTATTTACAAAGTAAAAAAAAAAAGTGTTCTAAGAAGTAACACTAAGTACGTGACTTATACAAGCCACACTGTTGTTAAGGACTGAGATAAATACAAGTGAAAGTACATTAGATCATTCTCCAGATATTTTAATTTTTACAAAAGGTTTAATTATTCAAAAGAGTTACAAGAAGAGAGAGATCTTCCATCCTCTTGGTTCACTCCCTTGATAGCAGCAACAATCAAGGCTGAGCCAGGAGAAAACCAGTTAATTCACAATATCCCACAGGGGGCAGAGCCCAGGACCGTGGGCCATCCTCTGCTGCTGCCATCCCACTGGGGGCGGAGCCCAGGACCGTGGGCCATCCTCTGCTGCTGCCATCCCACTGGGGGCGGAGCCCAGGAATGTTCCCACATGCTCCCAGGCCGTTAGCAGGGACTTGGATTGAAAATGGAGCGGTTTGTACACAAACTGGTACCCACAGGGATGCTGTGTATCAGGCAGTGCTACCTGCTGTACAAGAATGCTGGCCCAACTTTTTATCCGAAGCATCAATCTTTTACTGTTGCACAACCCAAATTCCTTAAATTACACAGAATATTAAGGTAAATGTCCATCTGAACAAATATCCTGGCAAAGAACAACCACTTCATCAATCAGATTTGCTATCAGAAATACGAAATAGCTAGATGGTCAGGATATCCAAAGTATAAATACCTTCTAATGCTTAATCACTAAAATCTGTGGTTGTGGCAAGTCACTTAACAAGCATATGTTGGTTTTTTTCACCTGTTACAAAATTAATTTAGACTTCTATTGTGGAGTATTTTAATATACAAATGTAAAAACAGGTTAAAGGAATAATAAAAAAGAGATCTTACTGTGCCTGGTCTATTGTAAAGTAGTTTGTGAAGATTTCTAAGTTCATCAGTTTTCTTCTTACTCAGAAAGAAATGTATCCTTTCAATTTCACAAAGTTTCTGTCCCTTTCCTAGGTGGAAAAACACACACATAATTAAATGCTTGTTATAAATGCAAATTATTAATGCATTTGCTAGTTTAAATAGAATTCACATTTACTTATTATTCTTATTGTGTTAAGGAAAATTACAACTGTATCATGACTTATCGACATTAAAGGATGCTAACCAACATTTTTGTATATTTAGCCATGTTCACCATAACTTGCAAAAATGCAGAATGAACTTACCCTGTGCAATCGTAAATGGCTCCCTCTGCAAGGAAGAGACTTGCATGGTCAACCTCTCTACTTTTTTCTTTTCCCTCTTGCCTTCCACGATGAGACTCTTTTCTAGAAATTGTTAGCATAATTTAAATAATGAATAACTTTATTGGATAACCATGTAGGGAAAAAAAAAACCTTCATTTTCCCCCTAAAACAATGTTTTGAAAACCAGATGACATCAAAATGATACCATGTGATAAGCTAACACAGCATCACAACTGTATTTTTAGAATAACATTTCACTTTATCTGGTAACTTTGGGATTTACCTAAAACAAAAACAAACAAAAAAACCCACTAACATTTCTCCAATTACAATGGTTAAGATTAAAGTCTGTATGGGTGTGAGTTCACACTGTCCCACTTCCAACCACTCCCTGCCTGCGGCCTGGGAAAGCATTCCAGGATGGCCCAAGGCCTTGGAACCCTGCGCCCACATGGGAGACCCAGAAGACACTCCTAGCTCCTGGCTTCGGATCAGCTCCGCTCCAACCCTTGTAGCCAAATAGGGAGTGAACCAGCAGGCAGAAGATTTTTCCGTCTCTCCTCTCTGTAAATCTGCCTTTCGAATAAAAATTAAAATCTTTCTTTAAAAAAAATCATTAAATTGTTTAAATATATGTAATTCTTTAAAATCTCAAAACTTTGTGAAAAATCATTTAGACTACCACCAAGATTATTCTTTAGACATAATTCTATTTTGTTTTACAGCTTGTCACACACAGCCAAGACTCAACCAGGAAGATAAAAGGTTCAACAGGAAGATAGTTATAATTTAGTATGCTAACAAGGCAAACCAAGAGTTAACTGGACAAGACAAAGTTCTGCCAGTTTCTGTCTACTATAATCAACTAGGATGGCATTACTTTGCAGTTGACCAAGTAACACTTGCCATGACAGCCGCATCACTGGGACAAGCTAAAACCTAGAGAACATGTAACAGTGTAAAGCTCAAAAAACGTTCAGCTCCATTTATCTAAAATCAACTACCTACTGACTGAAACAGAAAAAGCTGTCTGACGCTGTAGCTGAGATGTTTGAAATGTCTGCACCCCACTTCCAAGTGCAGGGGTTTTAGGTCTAGCTCCACTTCCAGGTGTAGTTTCTAATTGCCCACCGAGAGGCACACACAGGCGAGAGGCCCAGATGCACTTTCAGACTTCTGTCTTTGGCCTGGCCCAGCTCTGCTGCGGACACCTGCACAGTGAACCAGGAGTAAGCATTTTCAAACAGGAAAATAAAGTTGAATAAGAACACCCCTCCCACAGACATATTGTTGGAGGTCCTTTCAGCCAAATGGACTCTTTTGTTTTGTACAAAGCTGCATGTGGAATGGGAGGAGGGAGCATGCTTGTTAACACTTGACATCTTGTTGAGAAAGATCTTACTGACTTGGAGAAAAGAGTCTGATATTACACTCCAAAGTAAAAGATGATTTAAAAAAAAAAAAAAAGGCAAATAAAAGCTCACCTTGTTGAGGGACAATTTTTGGACCAGCAAAAAAAAAGAATCCAAACATTGATGCTGGCTGGCACTGAAGGCTATGTAAGATTTGGCGAGGCCAGGATCCCCAGCAACTCGTGCATCATTTAACTGCCTCTCTGTGAGTTACACCATCCGTTTTCTTCTGATTGTCATCTGAATGAATGACTGCCTCGTTCTAGCTCCAGAACTTTGATCTGAGGGTCCGATGGCTCCTGGTGCCTGCCTGCTCCCTGAACAGTGCCGCCTCACACCTGAGGGGCACCTCTCCCCAACACGCGCCTAGGACAGTGATCACCTCAAGGAATTGTTGCAGCAGACAACAATACCATCCACTTAGCTACCAGAAACAAACCTTTTACTAGTCACTGCTCTCAAGCCTCCACCCCACCTGCACACAACCACTGCCCACTAGCTTACTTCGGGCCTTACTTAACAGACTTCATTAATTTCCTTGCCTCGTTTCCACATCCCAGTCCTAGAATTAGATGATTAAGCAGAATAAAATCTCTGCAATTCTAGTCGTCCCACAAATACCTAAAAAAAAGATGTGTTGAATCAGAACTATAAACGGTTACCGGATAAACTTTTTACGAGATTGCCTAAATATATCACAATTTACTCATCTGAAAGGGGACACCGAGTTCTGTGAACTGCCACCAAAGCCCACTCTTAGCCACTTGTATTCACACGCTTTCTGTAAGTTTTCCCACACAAAGCTCACCAGCTCTTGCACCCATCTCAACTTTGCACCCTGACTGTCCCCAAAAGGCAAAAATTTTCAAGTGCCGAGACCGTAGCTCGTAGTAAGATACCGCAGCCAGTGTAAACACTTTCTTTATTACAACTTAACACTGTTAAGCCATAGGGCATATTAAAAATTATAAAAAGCGCTGCACCTTGCCCTTCCCTGTCAGGGCACTGCATACACAAAGCCTACCTTGTAATCTTAAACAGACCGGGCTTACAAAACGCTGACACTTAGACCCTGGCTTGGGGAAGAGAACTCTACCTCTCCCTTCCCAAGTTTGGGCCAGCTGTTGGCCAGCCATGACAGAGCTACACCGGGCAAAAAGCAGACAACTGGGTCGCGACTTAGGGCAGGAACATCGAACGAGAGGCCCTGGGCTTCCTGAGCAGCCCTGAAGTTCTGCCCCTAAAGGCCCGGAAAACAGACAGCAGTGGTCTGCTTCGCATGTCCTCCGCCGAGGCTCAGCTCCCAAAGCCAGACAGCTCCTATTAGTGCACTTGTAACTTTTCCTTCACAGCGTAATCAGTTTCAGATTCAACTTTCTCGATTCGCGACGGCTTTCGCTGTCGGCCACAAAGGAGCTGGGCTGAAAGTTCAGCAGAAAAGGGGGGGAAAAAAAAACCCTGAAAAAATGGTGTAACAGCACCACCAACAGCCACAAGTCTTGAACGAGGGGGCTGCAAGAGACCTCGGGGTGGCCGCCACAGGCCAAAGGACACGTGCAAGGGACATGAGCCACCCCGCCAGCTCCCTTGGGGCGCGCCAAACCCCGACCGGGAGGCCCGTGAACTTGTCAAACGGCGCGCAGGCGACTCCACGCCCAAAGCCATCCCGCGCGACGCGCCACCACCGCTTCCAGACAGCTCAACTCCTACGAGCCAGAAAGTCACAAAGCCAACTCTGCCACCGCTCAACACACACACACACACAGACCCCGCACACATCCCGCACGCAAACCACTCCGATTGAAGTCTTTAAGCTCCCCAAGGGCAAGACAACTGGAGGGGAGGGCGCATGCACGCACACACATCCCACTCGGATCTGCAAAAAGCCACTGCAAGGTTCGCGCCCCCCTCCCACCTTTCTCTTCCTCCTCATCCTCCTCCTCGTCCTCGTCTTCTTCCTCCTCCTCCTCCTCGCTCTCCGCTTTCGGGCCGGGCATGTCGGGCTCCTTCTCGGATGCGGGCTGGGCGGTGGTGTCCTCTTCCTCCGCAGTGGGGGCCGGCGAAGACATCTTGAGGACCTACGGGCGGGCACAGGCCGGGCGGCTCGGTCCCCTTCGCTCCCGCGAGCAGAGCCCGGCGGCGGCCACCACCGCCCCCCGCCCCCCGCCCCCCGCGCGACATGGGGCAGCCCCGGGCGGGGGTGCGGGCTGCAGCGCTCCGTTGCAAGGGGACGACTTCTGGCCCGTTCGTCCGGAGAGACTCCCGAGGCGGGAAGGCGAGCGGCCCGCCGCGGGGCCTGGAGCGATGCCTCCCGCCCCCGGCCCCGGGCCGCCCCGCGTCCCCTCCCCCGCCCCAGGCCGCCGTCCGGATGGCCTCGGTGGGGAAGGTGGCCGGGGCCTCCCGTCGCAGCCCTCACCGCGGGCTCCCGGCCGCCGCGAGCTTGGCGCGCGAAGCACTTAGAAGGTTCCGAGAGGTTCGGCGAGGTTCCGGAGGCTGACAGTGAGGAGAGAGCGTGAGGGCGACGCTCTGGCGTGATGCTCGCGCCGCGCGCCCTACTCCCCGAATCAACAAGACTTTCAAAATGGCGGTTCGGGAAGGAGAGCGGGAATGCGGCGGCCAATCAGAGCCGCGGGCTGGAGTTGGCGGGCGCGCGGCGGCGGGGCGGGCCGGGGCGGGAAGCCCGGGCGGCACTCCCCGGCTGCGGCCCGAGGGCGGGCTCGGCGCTCCGGGCCTGGGCCCGGCGGCCCTGTGGGCGGCCTGAGGGCGCGCGGCGGAAGGACGCCGAGGGGGCCTGCGTGTTTACAGTGGCTCTGGGAAAGCTGACGAGTCGGCCGGCCGCTGAGGAACCTCGGGAACCCTGCGGAGTGGCTGCCGACGCGTTTCTGCGGGGTGGAGAAGGAGTTACGACCGAGCTGAGATGAGGGGGGGAAGACTCCCCCCAGATCTGCTGTTCTTGCAGGGACTCGTTCCACCCTCTCCCCTCCCTCGCCACGGCTTGTAAGATGCACCGAGCGCCGGGAGCGTAAATAGCTCGACATATTTGTACACTCGTCAATGTAAGATAACATTTCAAAAGAGATCTTAAGGGAGAGCGGTGGAGACAGACTACAGGCATCGGGCACCGCTGAAAGGCGTGAGGACTGCGGGTTTGAAATTCAAGAATTATGAGAACTGAGGAGCCGGCAGTTGACATGAGAAAGCCTGGGGGGGGGGGGGGGCTGCAGCTGGGCGCTGCTTGCTTTCTTTCTTTCTTTTTTTCCCGGAGTAGATGTTGGAAACCAAAGCTAGTTGTATTGTTTTAGATGTTAGTTTTGAGAACCCTCTTTACATCTAAATGGAGATTCAGAATAAGGCGATCAGATATGAGCCTGACATTCTAGGAGGGAGGCTGTGTGTCTTGAAACCGAAATCAATAGGTAGATGGTATTTCAGATCCTGAAACTAAATGAGATCCTGAACAGGGAATACAGAATGTGATGGCAGGAGAGGTTCAAAGTTGCCCTGAAGCTTTCCAGTCAAAGTTTAGTAGTTCAAGAGAAGGGGAGGCGGCAGTGAAGAGGACGAGAACTGGCACGGAGGAAATCTAACTGGGAAACAGGTGGACAGTCCAATGTCCAACAGCCCAGTGACAAAAGAGACTGATGAATTGAGTCAGGGATGCTAAAATGTGAAAATGTTCTGTGATGGGGTCAAAGCTGTGGCAAGACCAGTTCAGCTGCCATCTGCAGTGCTGGAAATCCTATATGGGCTACCAATTTGAGGCCGGCTACTCTAAATGCAACTTCCAGCTAATGGGTCTGGGTGCCTTGGAAAGCAGTGAAGGATGGCCCAAGTGCACCCCCTGCAGCCACCAGGGAGAAACAGGAAGTCTCCAGCTTCAGGCTTCAGTCTGGCCCTGCTCTGTTGATGCAGTTGTTTGGGGTGAACCACTGGGTGGGAGATAGTGCTCTCTGTCTCACTCTATCGCGCACTCTCTGTCTTGCTGTAATCCTGATTTTCCATAAGTAAATAAATTTTCTGGGCCTGGCACAATGGGTCAGTGGCTAAATCCTCACCCTGTAAGCAATAGGATCCTCTCTGGGTGACAATTCATGTCCCAGCTGCCCCACTTCCCATCCAGCTCCCTACTTGTACCCTGGGAAATCAGTCAAGAACTGCCCAAAGCCTTAGGACCTTGCACTAGTGTGGGAGGCCCAGGAGAAGCTCCTGGTTTCTGGCTTCAGATTGGCTCAGTTCTGGCCATTGTGACCACTTCGAGAGTGAACCAGTGTATGGGAGATCTCTCTCTGTGTCTCTCCTTCTCACCATAAATCTGATCTGCTTTTGCAATAAAAAATAAATCTTTGAAAAATAAGTTTAAAAACATTCTATGGACCATTGGCTAGGACAATGCTGTATTACCAGTAACATTGACGAGTCATTTCCATGTATGGCAAGAATGAAGGTGCCGGGAGTGTGGATATCCATTCAGACGCTTTTCCAGGACCTTTGTTACACAGAGGAGCAAAAGCAGAGTAGTTACAAGGAAATGTGGCTTTGAAGAAGGGATGTGTTGTTGTGTGTATGATGCTGGGAATGGACGTATACGAAAGGGAAACTGATGGATGGTGTAGGATGGGACAGAAGAGTCCCCACAACCAAGCCTGAGTAGTTATGGATGGATGGAGTTCTCCAGAAGCAGGTGTTGCGACAACTTGGCTCATCAGATGTTTATTAGGAACCCACCCTTGGGGAAGGAAAGGAGAAGTAAGGCTGGATATAGAGGTCAGACTATTGCCTTCTCATTGCATTTTGGCAATCATTGAAACCCTCATTCTTAAATTTTCTGACATTTTGCCTTCAAGAAGTTTTCATGTCCACTGTGTACATTGATCTCTCTCATGCAAGGACACTTCAAAACACTCATAGAAAATAACATTAAAAATGAGTTTATATTGGTTGGTATAAAATATGTAAAATCTATGCATAGGAGGGATCTTCAAAAAGTTCATGAAGGACTCGGTGCGGTGGCCTAGCAGCTAAAGTCCTTGCTTTGATTTGGGGCAGGATCCCTGTCGCTGTCCTGCAGAGATGGACTTGGTGCCACGGAGCAGCATGGACCCTGACTGATGGTCAAAAGCCGAAGTTTATTAGTGCCATCAGACTTTATACACTGAGAGTCCATATGGGGGTAAGGGAGGAAGTATTGAGCTTGTCAACAAGACCCATAACTGTTTCCATACTCTTGATTGGAACTCCTTTTGTTTGGTATATTCCACCAAGTGTTCTCATTCACATGCTGTCCACTCAACCCAAATTATCTCCCATCAGGTATGCAAAAGGTAGCCATTTGGTTCTTCTCATGCAAATACTGTCCAATGAACTGTAATTCTGTGCTCACTGACCTTCTAGGGTCACAATGGCCTCCTACAGATCCCATCTAGGTGCCAGTTCTATCCTGGTGGCCCTTCATCCCATCCAGCTCCCTGTTTGCAGCCTGGGAAAGCAATTGAGGAGAGCCCAAAGCCTTGGGACCCTTAAGAGGCTCCGACTCCTGGCTTCAGATCGGCTTAGCTCCAGCTATTGCAGCCACTTGGGGAGTGAATCATCGGATGGAGGCTCTTCCTCTCTGTATATCAGACTTTGCAATGAAAATGGAATGAATATTTTTTAAAAAGAAGTTCATGAAAATGCATCTCATTATGCTTGGATTTTAAAAAAATGGCAAATAAACTTGGTTCTATTTTCCAGTTGGTTCAATTGGAAGCACTCTTGTCTGTCTAGCCCTTACATACTTACATCTTTCCCAAACTATTTCATGGGCAGAGCCCATGTCTGGGCTTTAATTGTTCTCTCTCAGTGCTTGGCATGGTGTGTGACACATCGTAAATCCTTCGAATACGTTTGTTTAATTGAAATGTCCTTACTTTGGATTCTGAGACAGCGACGTGAATCTATTGTCTAGACGTTATTTAAAGACCATCCAGCAACATCATCTCAGTAAATCAACATGGCTTGAATAAGCTAATGGTCATATTCTTTTTAAAACCTGGTCATCAAAATATAGTGGCACATTTGACTCTTCTAAAAATAAAAGTCTAATACTTCGTTTTTGTTAGAGAGAGCTAGCCAGTATGCGTGGTCTAGTAATTTGAGATTGGGCTTGAAATGTCTGGGGCCAATGCTGTGGCATAATAGGCTATGCCTCTGCCTACAGCAACCAGCAATCCCTTATGGGCACCAGTTTTTGTACCAGCTACTCCACTTCCAATCCAGCTTTCTGCTTATGACCTGAGAAAGGAATAGGAGGCGGCAGGCCCGAGTCCTAAGGCCCCTGTACCTACGTGGAAGACCCAGAAAGCTTCTTACTCCTGGCTTCAGATTGGCCCAGCACCAGCTGCTTCAACTATTTGGGGAGTGAATCAGTGGATAGAAGATCTCTGTTTCTGTCTCCCCTTTTTCTTTAACTCCACCTTTCAAAGAAAAATTAAAAAATCAATTCAGGGCCTGGCACAATAGCCTTGAATGCACCAGGAGCCCATATGGATGCCAATTCTTTTTTTCCATTTTTTTTTCTTTATTTTTGACAATCTTTACATACATAATTAGGGCACAAAGGTTCAAGGGCTACAGGAAAGTGGGTAATTCTATTATTTCCACATTTTTTCCTGTTTCTGGTATAAAGGGGGAGATAAAGGGAGAAGCCCCACCCAGTCTCCCACCCATCCCAGGTCCCTGATGTGGGGCATGCTCCCAGGGTCTGGCTCAAGTGGTTTTGATAGTTCAACAATTATGAATTGCTACTGATCTTGAGAGAGGAGTTAGAGTGGGTAGTAGGCAGTTAGGGTATTCTGGGTCCCCGAGTAAAAGAGAATTTCCCCACCATGTCTTGGACTCACCAGAGCACGTCTCTTCCAAGGGACAAGAGTGCTATTAGCATATCAATTCCCCACCAGAAGTATTGGCCACTGTGGGAAGGCCTCAGGCTGATCTCTTTATCATTGAAAGGAGAGCAGGAAGAAGTAATACACATCTGCCTAAGGTCTGGAATGTCCTATGTCTGGCACCTCTGTGGCCTTTTGTCCCAAGGAAACCAGGAATTTTCTTTGTTCATGGAGAAACATCTTTGAGGGAAACCTTTAAAAGGTGCATTCCCCACCATTGATACGGGTTTTGGCTTCTTGTCCTCCTGACACCAGGAATTTTCTTTGTTCATGGAGAAACATCTTTGAGGGAAACCTTTAAAAGGTGCATTCCCCACCATTGATACGGGTTTTGGCTTCTTGTCCTCCTGACACTATGGCAGGGGGTGAGGGTCTTTTCTATCTCAAAACCCCCTCCCGTCACTAGGACGGGAGTCTTTTCTTCTCAACTTTTCTAATAAATCTTGCTTTAAAACTAAACTGTGTCTGCATGAAAATTCTTCTTTCCTGTGAGTCAAGAATTTGAGGTTGCTGCCATACTCGGAGTCAAAATTCCTGCAACAATCTCACCATTCCAAGCATGATGAGGTCGCTGCAGAATTTACTGATTGACATAGTTCACCTTAGAGTCTCTGTTTGCCCAGCTTTTCAATGCCAACATGTGGCTGGAGTAGTTGATTGA